CATAAACTTTAATAAAAAATGCAGATTTATAGCATTGATGTAATAAGTTTATTTTCATTCCAAATTATTTATGATATAAAGCAATGGCCTGTTAAATTAATAGATTATCTTAAAAGTATTGAATCACAAAATTCTCTAACAAAGTATGCTATTAAAAACACCATTCTACTGAGCTTTGACTCTTCAGCTAGAGGTTTGATTATAATAAAACCTTGGGTTATACATCATAATTGGTGATTCTTTGCCTCAATCTCTTGAGTTTTCCTCCAGGAAGGTTAAGTTTTTTAAGACCATCTCTGAAGCATTTGGTATCAGAAGGGAAAGCAGGAAAGGAGCCCTTAAAAGATAAGCACAGATTTTTAGGCACTGAGACCCCACTCAGGTTAACAAGATGGTAATAGTGCAATAAAGACCAGTAGCCACCAGCTCAGGCTCTTGAGAAGGTCTTTCTTAAGTGTGAATCCCAGTTGGCAATGTGAGCTAGAGCAAGTTCACTTAAACACGTCAAGCCTCAGTTCCCCCATATGTAAAGCGGCAGCATTAGTACACAGGGTGATTATTTACAGCAGGTACCCATAAATATTATGTTCTGACAATATTCAGGTTAGTAGCTCAGGAAAGGATTAGTACTTAATATATGATAATCTATAAAGTAATTTGGAATTGTGTTGCCCTTTTGACTCTGATTTAAATTAAGAGAATTTAAATTAAGAGATTTAAATAACACACCCCTCACCAGGAAGTGTGTTACCAATTGGGGAACTAGTTTTTCTAGAACATAGTGCCAGTTAAGGAAGTTGTGCCAAAGACTTATACTGTATAGGCATATATGCACACTTCTTACTTAATTTCCTACCTTGGAATCATTAATCTTATTACTGTTCAATGATGACAATAAATTTAGAGAATATAGATTAAACATGCTTACATTTAGTGTATTCATGTGTAAGCTGAACTGTTTTTCTAACAAAAAGAAAATGTTAAAAGTAGTAGGTTCTAAAGACAAAAAGCATAAAAGTTAACTCTGAATTGAGAATTTAAGGGATAAAACGATTAATCTTTTGAAAAGGAAATTACATTATATGGATAAGAATAATTTCCTTTTCTGACATGTTCTAAGGGAAGTACAAAACTAACCACAACTTCTGTTACTGCATGAAACATTATTCGTATTTTTGTAATGCTTATCCTAAAAGATTACTTTCAAGGATATTTCAAACATTATTTTAGTTAAATGGCAAAATTATGCTAATAAAAGTACTTTTTTAAAAAATCTACAAATGAGTATAACACTAGAATTTGAAAGATAAAGTGTGCTATGGGGTCTGGGCATCATAGTCTCAGATATATACACTAAGTGGGAAAAGGCAGCTGAAATACCACATGGCTGCTCTGAAAACACGAGAAGGAAAATGTCAACAAGCAAAGACTTATAGTAACTCCCCTTTCTTATTCAGTTAATTTTACAAAGGGAACTTAATTCAAAATTCAAACGTAATACGTAATACATATATAAAACCTAGTTTGAAAATGAAAAACATGTTATGTTATAAATATGGTATTTACATATACTCAATAATTTACTACTAATTTTTAATAGAAAAATATGGAATTCATAATCATTTAAAGTTCACTCAGTTATTTTAACAAAGTTGCTAATTTATGTTAATAATTTATTACAAAAACCAAATGAGGGAAATTTAATTCTGTTACCATAGAGTTCAGGTTATTGCTATTGACAAGTCTGCATTATTTAACAAATGATTAAACTCTATGGTTAATGTGAAAAATTCAACTTTTATAAACCAAAACATTCCACTTCCATGGACTGCAGAAATGACCTATTATGCCACAAGGATTAGAGATGGTGATAGGAGAGTAAGAACAATATACCCACTTTTATTCTAGGGGCAAGATCATGCGTATTGAAACACTGATTCACTGTAACACAACCATACCATTTCAGGTACATTACAGAATTTTCATCAATCAAATTTTAAAAATTTTAAGTAGAAAAAAGTAATTCTAAAATATGTTCTGATCAATTTAAATATCCAAAAAGTTCAGTCCCCATTCAGAAACAGATAAACAGTATATTTATTAAATGAGTTAAGACAAATAAACTTTACAAATAGACAAATAATAAAAGGCTCAGTGGCTAAAATAGATGGTAAGCATCATTAAAAGAAATCAACACCATCATGGTATTTCAGTTGGCTTACACGTGTAAAAAGAAATTTTCAAAGAGCAGTTTCACAGAAATGAAGCCAGTTTTTTTCTTATAAACAAATCACCATTTCTTGGTTCAAAACTGACATCTGTTATGAAAATTACCATATCACATATTTGTAAGATGACAAGGAGTAACTCATCTTCAAAGTGCAAGTTAAGTCTATTTACAACCACAAAAAAGGCAATGATGAGGAGAAAGGATTTTTAAAAAATATACAAAGATTAAAAACATTTGGGATGCAAAATTAAACAATTTTTTGGTTAGAGAATAAAAGAGAAAAAGTGATTGAATTACAGATGCTGATTTCAGCTATACATATTATATAATGGGATCCAAGATCTTTAACAGCTTGCTTGCATTTTTTTTTCTCTACTTACATAATGCTCTGGAAATTTCTGGTAGAAATTAGTATCTCAAAGAGAGAAATACACACTAAGTATGTCTTGCTACTACTTCATGGATGCCATAAGACCCGTTTATGGATTAGAGTTGGTGTAAAAAGCCATTGCCTTGAATTGAAAAATGAATACTGTAAAAGCTCAATATAAATTCTCCAAAGCACATGCACTTCTAAATCTTTTGGTAAATACATTCATATTTAAGCATAACCAAAAATTAAAGAGAAAACTGAAAATACTTCCCTTTTCTCTATACCCTATGCCTTGTCGGCTTTTTCAGTTGATAGGGTCAACATTTAGAGTCGAAAGGGTTTTTGAGTTAGCCTAGACCACCACCCTCCTTTAGAATTAATGATTTCCCCAAGGTCATGCAGCACGTTAAAGGCAAAACCAATACTAGAAACCAGGTCTTGCCACCTAGCCTGGTATGCGTTCCAGCATATCATGCTACCTGTTTTTACAGCATAACTCGCGTAAATACCTGATGAATAAATGTACAATTACAAGTGCTGACAGAGCCAATGTGTTTCTAAGACTTGCAGAGGATTACTGCAAAGGATTGATGGAGAAAAGAAGATTTTCCCCCACCCACCAAAAATATCAAGCACCATCAACTAAATGTTTCTTTGTTGGGTCAGATGTTGTGGTCGTCCTCCAGTAAACTTTATGTCAGCCTGAGGATTGGGTATCTGGTGAAATCTGCACCCTAACACAATGCCAGTTCGAAAAGGTAAAGATGGAGGCAAAAAAGGGGAGAAAGTAGACAAAAGAAAGAAAAGACAAAGAATCCAATTGGTTTAGAAATGGGCATTCCAGCATATGGTTAATTATTATATCTATATCTATATATGACCTTTTTTTAAATCTTTTCATATAATCTCATTTTACCTAAATTGCTATTTGGCCACTTAAGAATTAAAATAAATATATCAAAGACAATTGTGGTAAAAAATTGTGAGACTATTTTAGACAAACTAAATTCAAGGAAGAATATGTTGAATGGTGAAATTGCGATAATTTTCTTAATATGGTTCTATTAGATTATCACCTAGGAATTTAAGCAGTACTTCATAGGGCTGTTATCACCTTGAAACTTATTCCAATTGTGGGTAAAAAGAACAGACTGTTGCACCGTATATGCAGAATTGAGTAAAGAAGCTGAAATGCCTTTTAAAAAAACATTGCCGTGAATTTATTTAATAAAAGGGCAGATTTATTTATGTTTACAAACAAGTTTCAAAAACAAAAGGAAAACATGTATGCTTCTACTTATTAACCTTTTTCAAAATGCCAACAGCCCTCATGCTGTATGAAGGTTTCTAAGGATTTATTAGAAAAATCAATACAGTTCACTCACAGTTCACCAAGACACCACTGAACTAACATGTTTAGACAAAAACATAAAGGACTAAGGTTCTCTTGTGGTTTGAGAGCTTGATTTACTTTGATTTGCCTGAAACAACAAAAGCATTTCAAGCATCTTTCGGTATGCAGTTGATGTCCCTCATTAAACAATCTACCAAATTCTGAACAAAAAGGTTATTAGCAAGTTTTCAAAAATTTTAAAAATTAAAGTTGTTTCAAAACCATTAAGTAGTAAATGTATTTAAGAAACTAATTAGAACAGATGCCATAACTTTATTAGAACACCACTGCTCATGTTTTTTTTGTTTTGTTGTTTTTTTGTTTGTTTTTTTAAACAAAGCATTAGTGTTATCTATTTGGCTATTAGTATTAGCAATTTATCTACAATATTTAACAAGGTAAATTGTAGGCAAAAATTTAGTACAGTTTCAATAGAAACACCCTTTTTTAATTTTTCCTGAAAATAGAGCAGTATTTGAAGGACTAATTTTTCTCTGCATCGGTGATAAGGAAGCTTCCCATCTATGAACAGGAACAAAAAAAGTATCTACAAACCTTGTAAACAGATCTGTATCATTTATAAACATAAATAATCCAATTTATTAACAGCCAACAGCAGAAATTAAAGTATTAATTCTATGATCCAGGGCCCTTTGCCTGCCCAGCTTTACTCCTCCCTCTCTCCCATCCAGGGTTGAGATAAACTAAAGCTCTGCTAACATACTGCTCAGGACCATTCTTAGGTACTACTTATGATCCACAGGTCAACTTATGCTGAGTTACTGTTCATCCGTCAGTTCATTTCTCCCACCCCCCAAAAAGCACCCTCAGTCTGGCAGAAAGCTTTGCGTTTTTTTAAAAAAATAAATCTACATTCGTACAAGTGTGTCTTCTGTTGAAGTCCAAAGACAAGAATACTATCTTGTCCGTCACAATATGTGAAAAGACCCAGTTTCAATTTGTTTCTTTACAATGCAGCTAGTGTGTTAACATTCAGCTTACAATCAGAGTGATGTTTCCAAACTATGTAGTGGGCTTCCTGGGGATGAAGAGGTAGCAGACTTGTTCATTTCTATTGTAAGGTAAATCCCGCTGTCAACAGCATTGTTATTTTTGTTGGGAGAGGGTGGAGGACTGGAGTTACGTTTTGTAGGAGCATCATCTTCAGCATCAGTGTCATCAATAAGGGGGATATGAGGCTCTGAATCTTCTATCCTAAACTCAGGATGTGTCATAAAGTTGTGAATCGAACTTCTTGATTCCGGTTTTTCTAACCCTTCATATAAAGAACTACGAAATGCATTCACCACTCGAATCTGTAAACACCAGGAAACAGAAAAATGTCAGTACGCTGTTAGCTTAACTGAAAGGTGGTGCATTTATGAGTTTGAATCCACAAACAGCTAGGTATGAGTGAATCATATTTGCATGTAATGCAGTGGAACTTGCAATACACTGTAAAAAAATGAATATTTTAGTAGGACACTACAAAACAACAAAACCACATACTCTAAGAATTAAGAGATAAGAATTTGAGGTAATATTAAGAAAAATCTCATTGTCACTGGCTAAAATTTAATAGCCATTTTATAGGATTTTTTCCTAAGAAAATAAAATTGAACAAGAAACAAACAAAATAAAAACTTAACCATACACAAGCTTTAGCTGATTTTTTAAAATAAAATAAAAAAAGTAAATCTGAAAACAATTTAAATAAGTTAAACAAAGTCAAGCACAGAGGGTTATTATTTATCATGCTAGGAATTAGGGTGCCACCAACTATGAAAAAGCCAAGCAAATATAAGCTGAATGCCACAATGAACTCACATCTACCCCACTATTCCCATGGGGTGTAAAATAAAAATAAAGACAAAGCCCAAACAAATATCTATAAAATGCCATTAAACAGCTATAAATATTTGAGTATATGCCATTTGTCTATGAAGTGTTTTTCTCTGCAATAGGTTATAACTCAAAACAATTTATGTATTATAACTCACTGGAAAAAACCGACTTAAAATAAAAACAGAAAAAAAACAAAAAACACCTCTGGGATTCTTGTGTGAAATAATTCCCAAGGAGAAAACACAAATATTTTTGTATCTAAACATATAGCCTAACAATTCACTCTCCTTCACAGAAGTCTGCTTTATGGATGAAAAGAGATTATTGGGCAAAGTAACTAAAAAAATAGCACCGCACAAACTGACATTAGGCTTCATTAACCTACTATCATACAGACTTTCAAAGAAAAAGTGGACAAAATTCAAATAGTTGAACATCTATATTTCAATCTAATGAATCCTGTTTAATGAAGACATCACTTACTCATAAGAGGAATAGCCAACATTGACATTACAGATAAAAAAATGTAGTCACCAAAATAATCTCAGAATAGTAATACAACTAATAAATCTCTTCAGACAGACATTTGAATGTATTTTTTCGTGAATATTTTAACATATCTATCACGTCAGTTACCATTTGTGTGTGTAGTGAGAAGTTCAATTATACAGTATATTACAGTCACCATCCTGTACATTAGATCTCCAGAACTTACTCATCTTGTATAAATGAAACTTGTTACCCCCTGACCAACATCTCCCCTCTTCCCCCTATCCTCTGGGAACAACTATTCTACTCTCTGCTTCCATGAATTTAACCATTTTAGATCCTACTTCTGATAATTTATCCAAAAAGAACAACAACAACAACAAAATATTCAGAATCTTGGAAGATAAACCTGCACTCCTATGTTCCCTGCAGCATTACTCACAATAGACAGGGCATGGAAACCACTTTACATGCCCATTGATAAGTGAATGGATAAAGTGCATGCAAACAATGGGAGATGATGCAGCCTTAAAAGCAAGGAATCCTGACCCTTGCACCAACATATGCTCAGTTCAACATAACCCCATCTCTCAAAGTTGTCTTGCCTGATTTACAAGGTCCTGTGTTTGGTCTGTGTTACAACTTGCTCACTCAGCCCTCTATACCGAGAAAAAGAGAATAGCATAGTTGAGGTAGAAAGACAGAGGTGAAGTGCCTACATGTGAATTCCAGCTCTGCCACTTACGAACTAAGTGATTTCCTCAACTACAAAATGGAAAATAACAGCCACACCAGCCTTATGGGGTTGTTATGGGAGATTAAATTAGTTTGTACATATATACACTCAGAACAGTGTCAGCTCCCAAGAATCAACATCAGGGCTTCTCAAACTGTAATGTGCACAGGAGGCACCTGGGTTCTTGTTAAAATGCAGATTCTCACTCAGTGGGGCCTAAGACCCTGCGTTTCCAACAAGCCCTCAGATGCAGTCGAATCTCTTCGTCCATAATTCACACTTTGAGCTGCAATCACCTACTCTACTTGTGGTGCTACTTTATCACATGCTAATTTGTAATTCTGTCCTATCCTTGTGTTTATACTTTAGTCCCCTCATTTGGCAGACTATTACCAGCAAACAGATTTTCCATTTCCTTTACTGCTCTGTTCCCCATTTACTAGCACATAGTGTTTTACATATGGTGTGGAAACAATGCTTACTAATTATACCATTATAATCACTCATTTGTTTTTTTAATTGTGAAATCTTGCAAATCTTAAAATTCTTCTATATATATAGACATTTAACAAGTATCCCGATGGTCCTAATAATAAACTATGCAGTTAAAAAAGCAAAAAAGATAGCTTCCTAAAAAAAAAAAAAATCTATATCTATATCTATATATCTATATATCTATATATGTTGGTGTCAGTGGTCAGTAGGTACAGAGAACGCATGTTGGAGGATCAGCCAGCAAACCTGGTGGGTGATGAGAGCTGTCCAAGAGGGCCCTGGAGTTGTTACTTCCTTGACTTTGGTTGCTTACAATGCTGCTAATAGAGCTGGAGAAATAGCTATGTTTTCTGTTTTGTTTTGACCAGCGTGGGTAGAGGGGAAGAGTAAAGAATCATGGGGGAAATAATTTATGGAACATGTTAAATTTGAGGGGCTGCAGAACTTCCTAGTGAAGAAAGCTCAGGAGAAAGGCTTGAGATTAAGTTAGTGATGTGTGAGTTGGCAAAGCTCTAGGATGGGCAATCACATACACACATCCATGGCAGGTAAAATTACGTTCCTTTTAAACTAGAAATTTTCCATTAAATTTTTTTTTTCTTTCTGAATTTGCTACATTACCTGAGAACATCAGAGGTTGAAAGGTTATTTGACATACTTTCCCCTAACCATTTTCTAAAGGGTGAAGCTGAACAACCAAGATGGACGGCTGACCTGCCACGTCACTCTTAATCTATATCAAAATGTCTTGGAATCAAGTTTCCTGAACTCCCAGTTACAGGTTCTCTGAAAGTGAGCAAGAGACATGTGGACAGTAGCATTATAGCTACATTCACCAGAATAAAATACTTTCTAAGATTAAGGTTAATGCTGTCTTCCTCTGACTTCACTACTTGGCCACATGGTGACGTGACCTGTCAAGGACAGCTCAGAATTCTCCAAAGCAAGGCCATTTCAAAGAACAGTTCTCACATTCAATACATACACTACTAGTAAAACCTAGATCAATCAGGATCACTGAACCAGATTCATTTTACTTTCTACACATGAAGAACATAAATAAAAAACCAATCTTGATGTAAGACAGTTCAGCTAACCTACACTCGCTGTGATTTCTATGACCTTCTAAATGTACAATTCTCACAGTACAGTAGTAATTCTGAGGAACTAAAAAGCACAGCTGTGTGCACAATAGTTTAGGTAGGTAGGGAACTATTTTAACACTATAACAAATTCAGTTTAATCAGAAAAATAAGAAGTAACCTTAATCAGTATTCTTGACAATCAAGCCTTACTATTTATTTTATCCAGTTTTTTTTTTTAACAAGTCCTTTAATATTTATTGAGACCTCTGATGCAAAACATAATTATAACTCCTAAAATTATTAAAATTAAGACAAATCCAATAATCCCTATGTAAAACATATTTTAAAGAGTAAATTCAGAGGAAAACATTGCACGAAGCATATGGCAATCAAATAAAATAATCAGTGATTACCATATTACAAAGTAATTTTAAGAAACTGCAAATAATTATCAATTTACATTACATACATTAAAGTCATAAAGCAAAACAAAACCATGTATGTACCCTGCTAAACCACCAATTTTCATAAATACAGTCCTCCTAAAATTATTAAAATTAAGACAAATCCAATAATTCCTATGTAAAACATATTTTAAAGAGTAAATTCAGAGGAAAACATTGCATGAAGCATATGGCAATCAAAGAAAATAATCAGTGATTACCATATTACAAAGTAATTTTAAGAAACTGAAAATGATTATCGATTTACATTACATACATTAAAGTCATAAAGCAAAACAAAACCATGTATGTACCCTGCTAAACCATCAATTTTCATAAATACAGTCCTAACTTTTTAAAAAAAATATATATTTTTTATTTATTTTTTTACAGAGAGGAAGGAAGAGAGATAGAGAGCTAGAAACGTCGATGAGAGAGAAACATCGACCAGCTGCCTCTTGAACACCCCCTACTGGGGATGTGCCCGCAACCAACATACAAGCCCCTGACCAGAATCGAACCTGGGACCTTTCAGTCCGAAGACCGACACTCTACCACTGAGCCAAACCGGTTTCGACTACAGTCCTAACTTTTGACAGCAGAAAATAATTACATTATTGCCCAAAACATGATGTGCATAGTTAGTGCTATAAATTTGAAACCATTTTAGTCACTAGCTGATATATCTTATCTTCTACAACAGATGGGCCATTTCTAAAATTTATATTCATCATTAGTTTTACTATGTGCACTAACAAAGAACTACAATGTAAAATAAAAGATACTAGGCAACAAGAAAGAAATTTCTAGGTTATTTTCCAAAGTTGGGTATTTTCACATCAAATTTTCTCAGAGTAAGACTAACTCATATGATCTTTTACTTATTTGAGATAGAGGTTGGCAAATATTTTCTGTAAAAAAACCAGAGAGTAAATATAGCTTTTGTGAGCCATATGGTCTCTGATGCAATCCCTGAACTCTGCCAGTGAAGTGCAAAAACTACTATAAGATATACTACTTAAATGACTGGGCATGACTCTATCCCAACAATAATTTATTTTCAAAAACAAACTACAGGCCAGAGTTGGTCCACAGACTATAGTTTACCAACCCCTTCACCTAGAAGACCAGACTTTCTCTCAATTTCTCCTTTCTAGAAAGATTTAACTATTAATTCAGCAAAAAGAATTTACTAATGATTGAGACTGATATTAGAATGATATACTTTATAAATAAAGACAAACTATGGAATGTTTTCTCTCAAGATCTTTAGGGGTAAGACTGACTAACAGAGAGAAAAAGATGATCTCTCTAGAGATGTTTCAAGTGTAGGATATAACAAAGTTGAAATGGATTATTTCTTCCAAAGATTCCAAATAACAGTCTAAGAAGTTTGACATCCACAGACAGTTCTAAGACTGCTCTATATTAGGGAAGAAACACAGTGAGATAATCAAACCTTTTATTACATATATTAACACTAACAATTAATTCTATATATTAGCTGATGTTCTGTACTACCACCTAACACAAAGCTTCACCAGGAAAGCTAAAAGGCATTTATGGTAACAGCAATATACTTACTGCAACTGGTAGTACACAATGATAACCTCCTGAATAAGAATATATAGCAGTCCTCAATACCCCCTTGTATTCCAAGACACAGAATACAGAATAAAGAAATAACCATCTCAAACCTTGATGAAGCAATAACTACACAGTTGCCCTCAATACGTCTATCATCCTGGTCACATGCACCCAGCAACTCAGAAATCTCAGATATATTTGTGCATCAGAAAAGAGCCTGGAGCAGGTGTGGATGGGTATGTCTTAAAACAAAGTTGATGACTGAGTTTATTATTTGATATAAGGCCTGGGACACAATTATACAGATTAATATATTAAATATAGTATACCTAAGGTCATGTGATATCCCTACAAATAAAAAAGTCAATAATTGAAAAATTTTGCTGATATAAGAATTAATAGAATGCATGCCACCCAGGCATGCAAACTTGTCAGGAAAGTTTAACAGGAAGCTAATCATGATGAAACAAATTTAGAATGTAGGATACTTTACAAGATAATTGGCCTGGATTCTTCAAAGAAAGTAAATGTACTGAAAAATAAAGGTAGGAAAAATGGGTCTAGATGAAAGGAGACTAGAGACACCTAACATACTGTCAATGATCCTTTCTTGAATCCTGTCTCAAAAAAGATATTAAGGACATTTTGGGAGCAATATATGTAAGAGACTTCTTATTATTAGCAGGTAGATGCTGAATTAAATATTCAGAGATGAAATGTCATGATATCTGCCACTTTCAAATGGCTCAAGAAAAAGTATATATTAATATATAAATAAAGTAGGTATCATGAAATATTAAGTGGTAAATCCAGATAAAATTATTCATCTATTAATCTTTCAACTTGTCCATTTGAAATTTTTCAAATGTAAAATTTTGAATTTTTAAAATATATTTTATTGATTTTTTATAGAGAGGAAGGGAGAGAGACAGAGAGCCAGAAACGTCGATGAGAGAGAAACATCGACCAGCCGCCTCCTGCACATCCCCTACTGGGGATGTGCCCACAGTCAACGTACATGCTCTTGACCGGAATCGAACCCGGGACCTTTCAGTCCGCAGACCGACGCTCTACCACTGAGCCAAACCGGCTTTGGCACAAATGTAAAATTTTGAGTGCAGGGCGAATCTTTTAGGATAAAGTCTCATTTCGGATCCTTCTTCCGGGATATAAACAGATCCTTACCATCCATTCCAGCCTTATTACTCCTTAGTCTCATTACTCTCTTAGTACCAAACTATGTCAACTGAAGCCTGCTTCCCTCAGCTGAGCAAATTTTATCAAGAATCAGCTTAGAAGTCATTTTTTTCCGGGTAAACTTTATTGACTTCCCAGAGTATGTAAAAGACTCTATAATAATATTCTGTGTTCTATTACCATGTAGTAATTTCCAACTACTTGTTTGTTTTCCTTACCAGACTGTAATGTCTCCAGGTCTAGTATAACCCTGGCATCTGGTAGGCTTTCTGCACATTCTACACTAGTGGTAGATGAAGAGATGAGTTGTAATAAGCCCTCTAGAGGCAAGAATAATGTAAAACCCACAGATACATGGAGGGAGGGATGCAACTGTCCCAGACATAAGGTCAGGCATTTACATATACCATGTCTTTCAGGTAGGGATTAATAGGGTAGGTTTTTTGTTTGTTGCTTGTTTTAAGAATAGTTTATTGATCTTTAGAGAGAACGGAAGGGAGAAGAGAGAAACATCTATGTAAGAGCACACCACCAATTGGATTGCCTCCTGTAGACTCCCTTACTGGGTATCCAGCTGGCAACCTGGTATGTGCCCGGACCGGCAACCTTTTGGTGCACAGGACGATGCCCAACCAACCGAGCCACATTGGCCTGGGCTCAGAGTAGCTTTTGAAAGAAAGATTCCTCTCTGTCCTTGTCTGTAAATTTAGTGCCCTGTCCAACATCACAGGGCGGTTTGTTCTTAGAGCACTTGCCTGCTCTGTGCTCTACACATCATGCTGCCTCTGCTTATTAGCCATGAACAAGTCATCTCAGCTCCAAGTCAGTTCTCAAAGTACAACTGGGAATAGGACCTGTTCTGCCTGTTTTACAGCACTGTCAAAAATAACAAATGAAATTTACTTAAGCAAACAGTGAACAAAAAGGCACTGAATAGAGTCCTCCTTAGAACGGCATTGTTTTCTCCATCAACTCATCCTCTCTCTAGCTTTCCAAGGTTCCCCTGGTCCTTAATTGGCTAAAGGTCAAATAACAAAGACAGGTCTCTCCCCAAACGAAGATTAACCTTAGGTATCTCAGCTGACTTTGGGGATGGGGGTGAGGGGTGCGTAGGCTTATATCTTTAGTGCCGCCAATATATTGCGAATCCACCACAAAATCAAGACCCTAATTCACAGTAATGACAATATAGGCTTTTGGGGAGTTTGCCATCTACTAAAAACCTGTTATTCTAGTCAGTTAATGGAAAGTATGACATGAAATGGCTCAATAATTAATCAACAGTACACTTTCCCTACTTCTTTGGAAAACTTAAAAGATTATTTCTTATCTAGGATACCATTTTAAATTAAATGGATTATACAAATTAAAGAAAAAGGTAAATACCATAGAACTATGAAGCTTACGCAGAGCCCCCTTGCCAAGGGGAAAACAAAAATCCAAAACAAGGCTGCAAAGACTAAACTAAGAAGGCAAACAATGGCTATATAATGAGAACTTCCTTCTTACTTTCCAACCTCAATAAAAGTCAAAATGCTATTTTCATTTTTAGCTTTAAAAACACAGTTTCTTGGTTCTGTTAGGTCAGCTCATAATCACATGCTTCTGGGGCACCATGCAATAGGAACATTTTTAAAGGCATATACTCAAACATTTATAGTAGTTTCACAAATTCTAAGTTACAATTTTATTCCCCATATTAAAAATCAGAGTTAGCATAGAGACAAGCTCACAGATTTCATATCTAATCTTTGGTTGCAATTGTTCCACCTGTTATCTAGCCCTCTAAAAAAAAATAAAATAAAACAACAACAATGACAACACTTTGAGGTCTCAATCCACTTTACGCAAAGAAAGCTTTATGAATAGCCTGAACATGAATTTAAACATTAAGGAGAAAATGAGAAACGTTAGGTGTGTGAAGTAGGAAATGTTAATTTCATGCACTTAGGAACACACACTCACACCCCACAGTAGTAGAAGCAGTAGAAGAGGAAAACACTACATGTGTAGGGGTAGAAATATTTGTTACATCATGATGCTGGCTGGCGATGGAGGGTTGCCGCCTTAGAGCCCCCTGAATGGAACTTCCACTCTGGAAAGCATTCACTACATCCATCTGCAAGGAATCAGAGATTGTGACAGCTTGCTCAGCAAGAGAGAGAGAGAACAAGAGAAAGGACCATTCCATCTATCAACATATAAAAAGTAAAGAAAAAAAAGGCACTTTTTACAGAGCAGATAAATAGGTTAAGAGTAGTATTTTGTGACGAAGGGGAAAAAAGCTAGGAAAAAAGGAGCTTAGGGGCATATAGACACATTCTTTCATGATCAGTTAAAACTTTCACTCATTCCAGGTAACAGAATTACTTTTCAAAATAGTAAGTTTTGTGGGTTGGGAGGGCTAGAAAGGAGTGTTCAAACCTCCTCCCCAGGTCCAAAGCCCTGGCTGGCTCCCATACCCATCACCTCTCCTACCTCTCTCCAGGCCCATACCTGCGTCTGGATTCGGTTCAGACCTCTAAACCACAAGATCTGGCCACGCCGCAACTCCCTCTCAGCGTGATCAATCTCTTCCACATCCTCTGCTAACTCCTCCTCAGGTATTTCTTCCTTTTGGGTTCCATGACCAGCTTCTTTTAGGAATTTTAAACGGCTAGTTGGAATTGTTGAAATAAGCTACAACACAGGGGAAAGAACTTGAAATAAATCATATCAAGTACAATTAAACTGATTAACTTTAGCACAATGGGATGAAAAGATGCGAGCGTAACCAACTAACTTCACCAATGAAGCAAAGAGATCCTGTTCATCAGAGGCTTTCTTTCTAAAAATAAGAAATATTCCTCTCTTAGCTGCACAAAAGATTTAAGCCTGAAGGGTAAAAGTGTTCCTGAATCGAATTAATGATGGTAAATTTAAAAATCATTCTTTGACATATTTACTTAAACTCATATTAGTTATATTTACTTCAGATAAAATAAAAATGGCAGGTAGTCTTAAAAGATGAAAAAAAAATTCTATTTCATTAGTGCTTTAAATTCAATGAGAAAAAAAAACATAACCAAATTCCAAAAATTTCCAAGGTTAAACTAAAAATAGTGTTTTACTATATGCACTTATTTTTATAAAAGCAACTATTTGAAAAATTGTGTTAACACTGATTGATAATGACACCAAACAGGAACAGATGCCCCAGAAAACATAAAAGATATAAAAACACAAACAAATACTTATTAACATATAGATGTTAGCAGCCATTCCTTAAGGAAGTCAGGCTTATCAAGGGGAAACAAGCAAGCAATCAGAATAAAAACTGCTTAGGGCATTTCTAGGCCATCCACCTCATTTCACAGAGGTGAAAAACTCAGAGCAGGGAGAAGACTTGTTCATAGAGTGACTAGGACACTAGGTCACCTAATCACCAAATCAGTGCTTTCTACCATCGCACTTAAATTCAATGACAATGTCAACCAAAGCAGGTAACTGATGCCTGCTGGGTGTTGTAATGGTATACTGAATTTCCTCTTCCTGAAACTAGCCAGATTTGGGGTGAAATTGTGGGTTTTGTTCTGCCTATGAGAGAACATTACATAATAATTAGAATGGTAATGAAAAACGAAAGGTGGACCAAGAATGGATCCACTTAAAAGATCTATATTAATGAGGTATTCAAAATGAATAAGAGAAACCTCAGAACCCACAAACACAATTAAAAAAAAAAAAAAAGGTGAGACAAATTAACTTCAAGAAAAACCTGGAAGTTGACTAATAAAATGACAATAAATTAGTTCTATAACATAACATTATGAAAATATTAGTATAGATTCTCTACCAGTTAATTTTATAGTAATGGGCTTCAAATGAACAATAGATACACCATTAAAACTTTTCTTTTAAAAATAACGACATGTACTTCCAAGGCAGCTGCCTATAATAGAAATGAGGTATATCTCATTTTTCAGGCGTTGTATTTTATATATACAATTTTAAAGCCATTCAATTCAAATAATCTAAAATGCTCTTTTGTGGCCCATTTTTTCCAGATATCATTATTTTTATGGAAACATTCTCTACGTAAATGGAAACTCAAGATTGTTTCTATGCTACATTTTGGATTAAACTACCTAAAAATTATATAGTGTAAAGAACATAGTATTTTATATTTTTGTACAAATATTTATTCTAAAAATTCAAAAATAAGTCATAGAGTGAACGATGTAGATATTAGAATATAAATGCATTATAATAATACTTGTTCTAAAAAACAAGTTAAAAAACGATGTCAGAAAGGTATTTTATTACTATAGGCATAATCATAATAAACAGCAAGTGACAGATTAAAGCAAATGTTACATTTAAAAAAACCACATCCCTAAATGCCCATTCTGCCCTAGAACGGTAACAACTTAGAATCAAGTACAGAACTGCTTAAAGAAAATACATACTAGAATTTTTTTTTTTTTTTAAATCACTTAAGGTTTGAACAAAAAATGACGATGTTTTTACCTGGCCCCAGAGTAACGTTCCCATTCCTAGGAATACTGACCATAGCCACTGTTCTATTGAAAGTTCTGAACAACTGAAAGGCTTTCCACCAAACTGCACAATTATTATCTGGAGGAATAATCAAGAGTAAGTTTATTTAAATCTTTTACATTTCATAATTCAGATACTTCAAAAAAATCCCCAAATTTATATCCTCTAAAATTTAAGCTAAACAACCATTATTCTGTGGTGACATGTATAATATTCACAGCTGAATGTAAGACAAATAAAACAAAACCCCTCTGTCCAAAATTTTAAATGTAGGTATTATTTCCTATTTAAATTATGCTTACTAAAAATTAAAAAAAAAATAATTCTCATGATCAAAAAAATAACTTCATACTGATTTTCAATATAATTTCAAGAAACTACATTCTCCTGTATTTAGTATAAATGAATAATTTATGCTTTTCCATAACAGATTGTACACTTTTGTAGAAAAGACTGTATGGAAAAATGAACATAATATTCAATCTTTATTATTTTCCTTCTAATTGCTATTCACTCCTGTTTAATAATATTTAGATATTATGACAAATATATGGCCTGTTAGAGAAGAAAAGAAAGTTGCAAGTTCCATAAAATATATGCTAAAGCAGGTGGTATACCCGCAGAAATTTGCTTACCCTTATAAAAAGTCAAATGATCTGCATAAAGAAAATTCATTAATATAGTGATTATGTTTCCCTCCTTATTTTAAAGAACCTAAAACAGTATATATAGGAATATTAAGAGTTAAACAACATTATTCACCCTGTTTTTGATATGGCAGTTAGTAGTTACCAAATATTGGTATTAAAAATAATCATTTTGGTATTAATAGTTTTTAAAGTTTATTTAAAAAATGTATTTTATTGATTTTTACAGAGAGTTAGGGAGAGGGATAAAGAGTTAGAAACATCAGTGAGAGAGAAACATCGATGAGTTGCCTTCTGCACACCCTCTACTGGGGATGTGCCCTCAACCAAGGTACAAGCTCTTGACCAGAATCGAACCTGGGATCCTTCAGTCTGCAGGCTGACATTCTATCCACTGAGCCAAACAGGCTAGAGCTAAACTTTATTTTTGAAAGTTATGAACTCTAGTCTTTGTAGCTGTACTTTATTCCAAACTCAAGTGATATGTACTGGTCAGTACCACCGTTCTTAAAATCAAGATTATTTGTACCCTTGTACAAATAGATTCCCAACTGTGTTTCTTTTTAGTAGCTCAACCAGTTGATTATAAATGATTTGGTAATTTTGCTTGGATTTTAATAGAGAGATCAATAATAATTTTCTCTTGTGTACCATAAAAGTGAGCATAGAAAAACAACAACATTTCTTTGTGTGTTTTCAATTTAAAAAAGAATTTAAACAATACCCCTTTTTATTTTTTTAGTATAAATGAGGCAAGTGAAAAAGGATATTAAGATATTGGTGAAACAAATGATTAAAATGGTTAGTTATGTGGCATAAGAAATAATAATATTTTAGAGTTGAAAAAAATAAAATTGCCTAATAGTGGAATTTACTTCTAAAAATAAGTTTTCATATTCTTTAATATACTGCTTAGATGGACTACTACTGATTGTGTATTTCAGTGTACTGAAGCACTTCCTAAATGTGTGCTAAGGGAATCTAGCACTAGATGTTGCCTTCAAAATTTACAAGGGGCTGGGTTATACAAAGTTCAACGGGTTTCTTGACTGAAGGGTTTCCCAAAGCTTTTGAATGGTTAATTTAAAAAACAAAGAAAAGAAAAAGCAGCAGCTCAGATTTGAGTGTTTTCTTGCTAACACCAAACTCAGAGCTTCAAGTGCAATATCTCTCTTAATGCTTTGTTATAATAGTTCTATGACATGACCTAATTAATATTAATGTCCCCATTTCACAGACAAAGCTTGTTGAGGTCACACAACTACGGAAGCAGCACCTTGCTGTGACCCCAGAACTGATGGACCCCTGTGTTCATTTCATAAGCATTGTGATACATGGCTTAAAGAACCTCCAAGAGGTAAGCAGAACAGACAATATTTCCTAAACTTACTGAGGAGATAAGAGCAACTCAAAAGATTATTGTTTCATAGGACATACTTTGAAAAATACTGGTTTTGTGTTAACTACTACCAAGTAGAAAAGAAACTAAAAATATTTACAAAGAGTTAAAGATTATTATGTACTTCATGATCTGTCAAAAAAGGAAGTAAAAATCAGAATCAGCTAGGAAATAAGAGACAAATTAACTGAAATATAATTTACTAGAGGCCCACTGCAAATTCCTGCACAGGTGGGGTCCAGCCAGCCCACCCCAATCAGGCTGATTGGGACGGACTGGCTAGGGGGAGGGACTGCGGGTGGTTGGCTGACTGGTCCTGTCCCCTGGTTGAACTCCAGGTCGAACTCACAGTCAAGGGTACAATTTGCATATTAGCCTTTTATTATATATGTACCTCAGATCTACAATCAAGACTTTGGCTAGTCTATGTACATCAAGGTTCATGTTTTCCTACCCAGCTGACAGACTACAAAAGTGTTATTCAAAGTGCTAATCCATGACAAGAGGATAAGGAACACAAACTAGAGTTTAAATCCATGCCCTATTTGCACAGTGCTGCTGCCGCTACTATTACTAAAAGTAAAAATAAAACCCCTCCCTTCCCCGCAACACCACAAAAAAACACTCTCATCTGAAATACACAGTGTGAGCAGTGAAGGTGTTCATTTATATTCTGGCCCGTGCTCCTCCTCTCAGTGTGGACTTGCAGTCAAGTGGCTGTAGATCAGTGGCTGCTCCACAGACCACACTGAGCAGCTCTGGCATGTTTACAAGGCACTGGAGCACTGACACCTTACATGAACTGTTTTAGGCATATCAACCTTTGTCAGGATTTGCTTGATACAGAGATACAGGCAGTATCTAATAAATCTAATTTTAATAAATCTAATTTTGTAGCAAAAGCAAGTAAATGCTAAAACTTTAGCATGTAATGAACGATGATTTTGGTAAAGTCTAAATAAAATACTTCATAAACAATGTGTCAAGCATCATCTCTCCTAAAATTTATAGAAATTGAAAGCTAACAGAAATAGATCTTACAGAAATAATTAAGTCGAGCATTTCCATTTCGGTATCCATAGTGCAACAAGATATAGGCTGAATAAAATGTATAAAAACTTTTTAATTTGAAATCTTACCGTGCCTACTGACTTCCTGGTGTAATTATGTACCATTCATTTACCTGTTTTAATCCCAAATCCTACTGTACAACCATTTACACAAAAGAGTACCGCAAAATACAAGATGATATAAAAACATAGCTATAATACATGGTGATATAAAATCATCATATGCAAAGTCATCATTAGTTTGGTTCTTAGAATCATTTCTGAAAAATGGGGGAAATTTTCAGTCCTTCCTATTAATTCCCTGTCGCACTCCTTTCTCTACTCTCTCTTCTGCCTTGTTTTGACAATATTACAAAATGAAATACTGACATGTCCAACTCAGAATGCAGCCATTCATAATCATATGAAATCTAAACATTCACTTCAAACCTTTTACTATTTTAACATATAAATTAAGTTATAAAAATAAACTGCTATTATTTGCTAGAAACAATTAAGCAAGCCTAAAAGTAAACGGTAACATTTACCTTAAATAGCATCAAAATTAAAAGTTTTGATAATAATGTTATAGAATGAAATAATCAGAATTAGACTGAGATATCACAACCACAGAACCCATACTGCAATTAAAGTAGCATTAGCTTCTCATATGCAGAATTTCAGGAAAGGGCAATTTTTCACTTGAGTTATGATATTTAAAACTTTGTAAATGTCATCAAAGCAATACACAGAAGCCCTGCATATTACAGTCAAGTAATTTCTGGAACAAGCCACTTGGTTACCTAATATCTCCCACATAATTATCAAATTTGAAACTATCTTTTCCAATTACCCACCTGTACCACAAAAGTGCCTAACACAATTGTGCAGAAGATGATATTATTAAAGATTCCTTCAAACACATTTCTTTCACCATGAATTTTGCGGGCATTTATTTCGTTGAAAAGTTGCATCAGCACAAATGTATTAAAAACAATAGTGTAATGTTCCGAAGGAGGAGCATGCAAAGGAGCGTTTCTTCCACTATCAATATCAAAAAACTTTTCTCCTAAAAGAATGAAAGATTATTATTTTGTATTGTCATACAAAATTATTTAACATTTTCAAGGAGGTATGCAACAATATAACTACCCAAACCTTTATTTGATGACCAAATGACAGCATAGAAAGAGTTGAAAGGGACCTGGGATTATCTAATTCTCTCTCTTGTTTTACAGACAAACAAACTGAAGGACCCAAAACTATTATGACATACTACAGATCACCTACCTAAGGTAGTGGCAGAGTCAGGACAAGCAATCAGGACTTCTTTTACTCCTTCCCCACTATCTCTCATACTGCCCCCCTCCACACACGTTCCCCTGCCAATTTAAGGTAAATGAGGAGTCGAAGAGAACTTATGTTCTTGAAAAACTGGTAACAAATAATCATCTGAAATATTAGCTTAGAAACAACTGAAGTTTTATCAGGCATTGAATTCTTACCAGCAAACAAGAGGGTAAAGACTACTACCAGTTGATAGAATGCATGACCCAAAATATTCTTCATCATCGTGCGTGAGATGAGAGGTTTATTTCTACCATAAGGTTTCCGAAGCAGGAGAGATTCAGTGGGGGGTTCAGTTGCCAGAGCCAGGGAAGCAAGAGTATCCATTATGAGGTTCACCCACAGCATCTGCACAGCTTTAAGTGGCGAATCCTAGAAAAGACAGGTTTCCTGATAGATATTCACAACTATTCAGGGACTTAGCAATTCTCAGGAAGCATTTTTGTATTTAAAAACTTAAAGAACATAACTAGATTGCACTTTTATAGTAATTAATCTAAAATATTAAGCTTCAACCTATTTAAATATTCAACTACTTTTAAAGGTATGTTATACACGTATTTGCTTTAAAATAAGCAAGTTTGAACAAACAAAATGTCCACCTACTTGAGTAATACAGGCGCCTGTGAAAGCAACAATCACTGCTACGACATTAACAGTAAGCTGGAACTGAAGGAATTTTGAGATGCTGTCATAGACATTTCGTCCCCACATAACTGCTTTAACAATGCTTGTAAAGTTGTCATCTGTGAGAATGATATCAGACGCTTCTTTAGCTACATCAGTTCCAGCGATGCCCTATTAAAAAAAATTCTGCAAATCAGACTAAATGTTTAAAATATAATTTTTAATATTCAAAAGGATAATATTCAATTGATCAACTAAAAACCACCACTGTACTTAATAATTACTGACTTACATTTACTATAAAAGAAGCTAACAGTTATTCTAAGATATCATCTCTCAGAAATTCGGTTTCAGGAGAAATCAAAAATAAAAAAGGAGGGTTTGAAAATAAAATTTAGATTGGGTTTAAAAAAGAGGAACAGACACAGGCATTATTCCAGTTCCTTCCAAAAGTCACACACAAAAATACATTTAAAAAATAAAAACTCAAAGACAAAGTTAGTGGGAAAGAAGATACTGCAAGAGAATCTTAACACATTGCAGATGCATCACAAGAATTCTTGCTTCATATTACATAGTGTTTTACAAAGTATCATACTTTAAAAAAGATATTACCTTGTAAGGACATGTAATAAATAACTTAAAATGCAATGGGTATTTAATTTTAAAGTATGCCTTTAACATTTATGTACAATGTTTTTTGTACTTGTTCAATAGAAACTTATTTGGCCACTGGGTAAAGCTAGCAATAAAACCACTTGTCCGCTTAAGAGGTTGAAAAGCAGATAACCAAATATTAAGTAACATTAGCAGACCTCCAGAATACTGAATCCAAAGCCGACAGTAGGAGAAGCAGAGACATAGCCGGTGTTTTTACACCATAGACCTCTCCTATGTAAGCTTAGGACTTAGCAGCACAGGTAGAACTGGCAATAGGGGTGAAGGTATGAATAAAAATAGGGAAGATTTCTTGAAAGTCTACCAAAGACACTGAAGAATTACTTAGATGGTCCAAACTAAGAACAATAATGTCCACCAGCCCTAAGAACAATAATGTCCACCAGCCCAGTGGAAAGAGCGTCAGCCTGCGAAACCAAAGGTCCTGGGTTCGATTCCTGTCAAGGGCACATGCCAGGGTTGTGGGCTCGATCCCCAGTACAGGGCATGCAGGAGGCAGCTGATAGATGATTCATCATTGATGTTTCTCCCTCTCTCACTCTCCCTTCCTCTTTGAAATCAATAAAAATATATTTTTAAAAATGTCCATCAATGGTGGGACGGGGTGGGTTAATATCATGGATTAATTAAAAAAAGAGAGAACTATACTATCTAAAACAACACAGAAGAACCTAACAAGCATAATAACACAGGAAGCTGGACTCAATATGATTCTTCTGTTCAAAGTTCAAAAAAGAGACTCAAGTATAATCTTCTGAATACTGGTTATCTTTGCAGAGAGGCAGCACAGTAATTAGAAGTGAGTGTGGATGAGGTGTGGGGTATAGGTAACGCTCTATTTCTTGCCTTGCAGAATCCAGATTTGTTCACGTGTGATAATCTAGTCAGTTGAGTACTTATGACTCAGGCACTTTTCTGTATGTGTGTTATATATTAATAACAAAGTGATAAGAAAGCTAGATCCTCAAAGCCCCTTCCCAAGTCCACACAACCAGGCAATTTGCCACTCCCTCTGATAAGGCAAAACAACAACAATAATAACAACAACAAAAAAAGCCCAAACACAACTGCCTGCTAATTTACAGAGAATGTCTGGACTGAAGGGTACCAAACACTGTTGAGTACAGAGTGTTAAACTGAAGGAAAAAAAAAGGGAGCCCAGCTGGTGTGGCTCAGTCCCATGCACAAAGAGATTGATGTCATCCCATGCACAAAGAGGTTGCAGGTTTGACCCCCACTCAGGGCATATGCCCAGGTTGCTGGCTTGAACCCTAATAGGGGGCGTGCAGGAGGCAGCCCACTAGTGAATGTTTTTTCCTCTCTTTTTTTCTCCCTTCCTCTGAAATCAATAAAAACATTTTTTTTTTTTTTTTTTTAAAGGGATAGGGTTAGGAGTACCTGTGTTTAATGAATGTTGAGGCTTTCACTTTTCCTTCTCTACCTGTCTCCCAGGATATCAGTATTCAGGATTGCTCTCTAGGCAGCAGATTTGAAGACTCTTTTCTGGGAAATCTGATCATCTTAAAAGAAAGACCTAAGAATACTGCAATTTAAGGTACCCTAAAGAAGTGAAATGACTAAGCCAGATCCCTTTACAGAGAAGCTGTGGTTGACAAATCTAACTTCAAGGCCCAAGACTTTCCAGCTTTTCAACTTTACACTTGGCAAAGCACTAACCTGAAAGACAGACTAAACCAAAAGAAAGTGGAGACAGTCTGCAGAGACAAGCTCATTTAAAAAAAAAAAAAAAATCAGGGGAATAGTGCACAAAGAAGGAACAGTGGGGAGGAAATAGGAGCAGAAGTGCCAGGTGATGATGGTGATGAATCAGTGTTAAACACATAGAAAACCTAAGCAAAGATAAATAAAATAAAAAAGAAAGTGAATGAAAAAGAAAACTTACAGGGAATAAAAAAAGTTGTGCAAGGAAATAAAAGTAACTATATTTATCTATCCAAAATTATAACTCTGATGGAAGATTGACAGGGTAGGTAGTATGCCTGAATGTGTGCTGGGGTGGATGTCCTGTGTGTGTCTGTGTATGTGAGCATGTGAAAGTGCTAAGACGTTCTGTTTCTTAATGAAAAGGCAATAGCAAATACTTTATGTTAAAAAATTAAATCAAAAGTACTATAATCATGTCATTTCGATATATGAAGGCAAATAGTTAAAATACTTGTGTTTTTTTTCAGTCAAAAAAATGAGACTAGAAGAAATGTTAGGAGACCTGGGTGTTTTATTTTTTTAAGTGCTATGCATATATTGTTTTAATAAACACAAAACAAAGTTTAAATCAAGCTTTTCTTGAAATATTCAATGAAGGAAGAATTCTAATTTTAATCTCCAGTTCTTAATCTGAACATTTTACTTTTAATGTGCAACATATTTAACACATCTAAGTCCAAGAGGTTTCCCTGCCTCAAATCATTCTCCTGTCTTTTACAAATGCAAATCTCATCACTTCTTTGTTCAGAATCCTTCAAAATTTCCAGCTATTAAAATCGTCATGGGGATGTAAATGGCAGCATAAGGAATATAGTAAAAAAAAAATTATAATAACCGTGTACAAGTCAGATGGTACTGGGAGGGTGAGATCACTTTGTAAGGTATATAAATGTCTAATCACTATGTTGTACACCTGAAACTAATAATGTATGTCAACTGTAATTGAAAAATAAACTAAGAGCCGGGACCGGTTTGGCTCAGTGGATAGAGCATCGGCCTGGGGACTGAAAAGTCCTGGGTTCGATTCCGAGGGCATGTATTATACCTTGGTTGCGGGCGCATCCCCAGTAGGGGGTGTGCAAGAGGCAGCTGATCAATGATTCTCTCTCATCGATGTTTCTAACTCTCTATCCCTCTCTCTTCCTCTCTGTGAAAAATTAATAAAATATATTTAAAGAAAGAAAAAGAAAAATAAACTAAGAAAAATTAGTTCCATAAAAATTTTTGGGAAACTTTTCATCAAACAAAAAAAGATGAACAGCTTTTTTATGAGCTTCTGTGAACTGTATGCTAACATATAATTTAGTGTGTCTCTAAACTAATTTTACTCCATCAGATGTTGCCTAGGAAAGAACAAATTCCTTATCTTTCTATTTCAAGGTCCTCATCAGGTGGGGTCCCCAGTCAATCCTCTGTTTCACATCCCATTTCCCCCACACCAAACCCTCTTCTATGGATGTTAAAACCACAGCCATGAGCTGTATAGAAGTGTTTTGGGCAATGACCACAGATGGTGGTCCTCAAAAATTACAAGGGCGCTGAAAAATTTCTATTGCCTTGTGACATTGTAGCTGCTGTAATGTCATATGCACACGTTACTTACACATTGGTGATGCTGGTGTACACAAGTCTGTGGGGTCAGTTGTATAAAAGGCTAGCACATACATTTACATACAATACAGAATACTCTATAATGATAATGGTTGTGTTACTGCTTTGTATTTATTAAAACAGACATTTTATAGTTATTTTAGAGTGTACTGTTTCTACTTACAAAAAAAAACCTTTGCTATAAAACATACATCATGTTACTCAGCAGCCTTATCCGTCTCCCTGTTGGCCATGCCACTAGACTACATAATTTTCTCGTGTTCTTAATTTAATCTCGTGTTGTTTTGTATAGTAATTGCTGTACAGGTTTGTAGCCTGGGAGCAATAGGCTATACCATCCAGCCTCGGTGTGTAGTAGGCTATGCCATCTAGGTCTGGGTAGGTGCCCTCTATGATGTTCACACAATGACAAAATGGCCTAACAATGCATTCTCAGACAGAATGTATCCATATTCCACCATGCTCACTCCTGTTGGAAGGCTGCCACCATGTGTGGTTTAACCTCAAAACACCAGGAGGACAAATTATCCAAATAAACACTGGTATACACAAACATTCTCTTATCTGAAACCTTTGGGGCTAAACTGTATTTCAAAATTCAGCCTCATATATCAAAAAGATAATGAGGCACATAACTTCTATCACAAATTCTCCCAGATGGTGTCAGCACCCCACAAAACATATTATTTTCTCTACAATGGCTACGAATATTCATAAGACATGAACATTCTCACATCAGGTCAGGATAAAGTATTGTAATGAAATGAGTCCGATGCAAATTTAGGAAAACAAGTCAGTTTTCAGATTTTTGGATTTGAGAATTATTATTATGGACCTGTATTGTCCAAAAATAAAATAAAACTAAATTAAAATAGTTAAATTTTCTATGGCACTGAGAGTTCAAAGATTCATTTCAACACTAAAACCTGAGAGAAATAGATTCAAAGATGTAACAACTTAATTTCAATCATTAAACATTTATGTAGCATATGTATTTAATGACACATATGCTACATATTTAATGATACATATGCTTTACCAGTACTATGGCTACAAGCACCAAAGCATCAGTACAAAATAAAAATCCAGTGCTTTAAATAATCAAATCTAAACTGAGAACTTGGGTGGGGGTAGGGGGGGTTCCTATCAACAAAGACTGCAACCAACCAAAGAACTTGTGTGCATATATGCATAACCCATGGACACAGACAATAGGGTGGTGGAGGCCTGGGTGGGGGGTAAGGGCAGGTTAGAAGGGATCAATGGGGAAAAAAGGGGACATATGTAATACTTACAATAATAAAGATTTAATAAAAAAGCAAAGAAAGAAAATTCAAAAAAGATTACATATATTAAATACTAGAGGCCCGATGCATGAAGATTCGTGTAAGAATGGGCCTTCCTTTCCCTGGTTGCTGGTACTGCCTTTGCTCTGGCTGGAGCTGCCTTTATGCCTTCCCACACTGCCCAGAGGCCTGGAGCTGCTGGGGCGGTGCAGAAGGTCTGTATCCCACCCTGCCCCTGGCTGCTTGGCAACTGTGTACGCAAATTAACCCACCATCTTTGTTGGGCTAATTTGCATACACACTCCTGATTGGGTGGTGGGAATCATTAAGGTGCAGTTAATTTGCATATTTCTATTTTATTAGTGTAAAGTGACAATTACTCTTCTATTTTTATATAAGCACTTGCAAGTTTTTATTTTTAAAACTTCAAATGAAAACCATGAGATATATTTTGTCAATTGAACATTTTAAGTTCATATATAAGTGGGGGAAGGTAGAAAAGGGTAAAGGGGGGAATATATGGCGATGGAAGAGACCTAACTTGAACAGTCAATTACTCTTAAGAGACATTTGCAGTTATGTGGAAGAGTCCAACTATTTTATCATCTTTAATATATGTAGCTGTTCTGAGCTTATCTCCTACTGAAGGGGATTGTTGCAAGGTTCAGATGAGATGACAGACACTATAATGCTTTCCAGAGTATAAGGTAAATGTATGATCTTATTACAATCCTTCAAAAGAAGTCATCCTCCACTCAGATTTCACTGCATGAGCGTATAAACTAATTATATTTCTAAGTCAATTTAGGCTATAAAATATTCTTCACAATATTCTTGAGAGAATATGTAAAATCAATTGACATTTAGTAAAAAAAAACAGCAAAACAAACAAAAAAACCCAGCCAGTAAATTACACCTGATTAGGTAAGCTCCTACCATTGCAAATCCAACATCAGCTTTTTTCAGTGCCGGACCATCATTTGTACCATCACCAGTTACTGCTACAACCTGACGCTGGTCTGCGACTGTGCTGTCAATTATACCTAAAATAAATAAAGGTAAATATTTGGGCTGTAAAAAATTCCTTTTAATTAAAAAGGTGATTCTGCAGAATATCCGGAGGAGTCAATTTTACAGACTCAAGGTTAAAAATAAATAACTAAGCAAACGTAAGGAATGGAAACTGCTGAGAGTCTGGGTGAGGAACAACTCCAGAAACAAAGGTTCCATTAGGAGCAATATCCTGTTGTAATCACTGAAGATTAACACATTTACCTAAGGTGTCAAAAAGGAAACATATTTAGATTTTATTGGGAAAGATGATATTCATGATTCAACCCAATATTCCATGATTTATTTCTATTTCAGGAAACTGAAATAAGATCTACTTACCTTTAACCAGTGTATGTTTGTCTGTAGGAGATGATCTTGCAAGTACTCGAAGCTTTGGCCAAATCTTGTCAATCCGCTCTTGCTCAATCTATAAATTTTTGTCAATGTTAAAATAAGCCCAAATCTAGTTTCATGATCTCAAATTAGTGATCTACAATTTGTATGAGTGGTTCTCAAAGTCTGGTTAACAGATTAGCAGCACCAGCAATTCCTGGGAACTTGTTAGAAATGCAAATGCTTGAGGAAGGCCCCAAATATTTATCTTATTAAGTACTCTGGGGTGGGGCCTGCCTATCAACATTTTTTTGAAAGGCTTCCGAGTAACTCTGACGCATACTCAAGTTTAAGAAGTATATATATATATATATATATATATATATATATATATATATAAGATCAAATTTTTAAAATCTCCCCACTGCCTATGAAAATAGAAGCTCCTTAAATTAACAAGGAAAGTTCAGAGAATTTGGGGATCCCTAAGATATATTTCATATCAACCTTTCAAAACTCATCTCCTATTACTCGCTTGCTTACACATACTGTATTTCTGAAATTGGCCTAAACTTAAGAAAAATAAATGCTCACAAATTTGTACCTTTTTTTCCTAACATGCTTGTGTTTTGTTTGATGAGGTGCCAGCTGCATTTACTCATACTTAATGTCTAACACAGTACATATTCAATATGCATTTGTTGAATGGAATTTCAAATACAATAAAAACATTTAAAAAAAAATCAAAACTCGTACCTCTCCTTTTTCATTTCGTATTCTTCTGTTGAAATCTTTACCTTCTATACATAGGAAATCTTCCCCGGGGTGTAAAATACCACATTTGCTGGCAATAGCCCGAGCAGTATTAATATTATCACCAGTGACCATCCGCACAGTAATTCCAGCCTTCTGACATTTTTTTATTGCATCTGGTACCTGGTTTACATGGAAAAATAAATCCATTTTACAAAACGAAGTCAGTATTTCCAGAGAGAAAAATCCCCACTGAACAAATATGCATTACCTCAAAGTCCCATAAATGACAACCTTAATTCATTTCAATATTCAGTATGTCTTGAATTATTCCCAATAATCTCTTCTTTCCTCTTCTACTGCCAGTCCTAGTTCAGGCTTCATTTTCAGTTGTCAGTCAATTTAACCTGCTTGCATTATTTATTTACTAAAGGCTTTTAAAAGCACCTTTCTCCCTGGCAACCATTAGGCAATTCTCTGGATGGCTTCCTACCTTCCTGATTTTATTGTCCATACATACAACACCACAGTAAATGTTAGGGTTCTTTAGAATTATGGGTAGTTCTCCTGTTCTCACACCTTCAACGGCCATCTGTGTGCTAGAAACTTTCAAATCTCTCTATCTTTCCATCTCATTTTGAGAGCTGGATTCATAATTTCAAAAGAAAAGTGAGTATCAAACTTTGGGTGTCCAAATTTTGTTTTCTAAACCTATTATCTAACAGAAGCCTAAGGGTCATTGGACCTCTTCCATCTCTCTCTTACCTTATGTACCTTGAAGGGCTATAGATTTTATCTTCTCCTCACTACTTGCTGCTTGAGCTATTGCACCAGCTTTTTAAGTCATATCCCTGTCTTTATATTTGTTACTCCTTTAAAACATCTGACATACTTGATGGAAGAGTTCTTTTTCTAATCACTTTCTTAGAAATATTTGATTCCCCTACTGTTGTATTAAAAACCATAATGTCCTCAGCATAACAGTTTCACACTTGAGCCTCAGAATACTTTTCTAATTTTATGTAAAATATTTCTCTATTATATATAACTTGATAGATGACTTTACATATTATTTATGTGCCTATTTTTGCAATTTCATGCTCTTTTCTAACCAAAAAAAAATGCATGCTGATCCTGCCAGAGCACAGATTGGAAATGCAAGTGCAGGTAACACAAAAGAAGGCCACAGAGGTTAACATAAAAAGGAAAACACTCTGAAAGTGACAAACTCTTAAGATGAATACTCAATAAAAGCTACTCAGTGCTAGTCTACTTTTACCATGGGGAAAGGAGTACCCAATGTTGACAGAACCTACACTTTCAAGAAAAAGCAAAAACCCAGACTTGTGTGTGCTCTCTCAATATTTAATGTTTTAAACACACACATGAATAAAAGCTTAATTTTGCCTTTAAGCTGTTTGACTTCTATTGTAAATACAGTTTAAGTGTGATATCTCTGGGAGGTTTCATGGCCTACTCAGACAGAACTATATCATACAGATGTCATTACATCATACTAGAGTTATTTGTTTACCTAAGTTTTTGAACCCTTACTTTCTCATGCTTGGATCACCAATGCCCAGTACAATGCCTTTTGTTCATTTAACAACTAAGTGCCTGGCATGTAAGAGGAGCACAGTATTTGTTGAACTACTGAATTTAACATCTTTATGAAACATTCACCCTTGAGTAATTTTCAAGGAGGAGCATATCCTAGTCAGGGTATCATTATGTCTTAAAACATATGTAATTTCATTGCTTGCAACATAAGTGAATCTCTAAGTTTTAGGATTTACAATATAAAAGTATATCTCTCCATTCTGTCAACTCTAAGTCATTCAAATCATTGGAGAGAAACATCATTTACATCCACTTTTAATATTTACTGAAATCCAGGCAGTACTAGTATGCTGGGTGCTGGTGACCCGAGGTGAGTGAAAGGACAGAGATTGCCCAGATTATTAAAAAAATAAATAAACCAGTACTTGATTTCAAAAACACTGGTCTGCTGTATATATGTCATATATACCCCAATATCCCATTTGAAATAAAATGTAACCCAAATTTGTCTAATTAAGCACTCAGTGATCTGGGATTATTCTGAGATCACTTGGATTAGGGGAATAATTAATAAGAGAAAGAAACTGGTCTCAAGTTAAAACTATGTGGCAAATAATATTTAAGAAGGGAAAACTAACATTTATTAATTGTCCACTAACCACCAAATACTTCCAGTTAAAATATAAACCACCTCCACTTTTACAGATAAGAAACTGAAGAGAGGCTAAGTACCTTGTTCAAGTACCTATGCATATGCAGTAAATTTCTCGTAGATAGCTAATTAATCCAGATTTTCTACATGAGAGCTGCATAGTGCAGAATACTGACAGAAAGCTGTTTCACGTTACACGGCCTTTTTTAGTATAGAAGTGCCCATTTGATTTTGTTATACTGAGAAAATTAAGTGCCACTTAAATATTTTAAAAAGATAAAACTCTCCATTTACCTCAATGCCAAGAACACAATAGTAATACATTTTCCAAAGGACAAAAGTTGTAGACATTCTCATTTAATATTATATTTAGATAAGATTTAAGCTATAAGTCAATGTATAAAAGTCTGAATGGTTTTCCTCTGACCAAAGGTTGGCAAAAATTATCCACTTTGTCCAACTGGTGTGGCTCAGTGATAGACTGTCAACCTATGAACCAGGAGGTCATGGTTCGATTCCCGATCGGGCACATGCCGGGGTTGTGGGCTAGATCCCGTGTGGGGTGTGCAGGAAGGACACAGTCAATCAATGATTCTCCCTCATCATTGATGTTTCTATCTCTCTCTCCCTCTCAGAAATGAGAGAGATCAAAAGTATCCACTTTGGTGTTTTATAAGCATTCGAAACTCCTAAACTCCACACTGAATTAATCTTGATCTCTAAATATGCTGCTTCTTCTGATTCTCTTACTACCATCTCAGACCCTCTAGTTATGTGAGAGACTGATTTCCTCTCTTCTAGAAGATGTCTAATTGTGGGGACAGGGCAGTTTTAAATTCTCTTTAGCTAGACACTTTCCTCAGAGATCTCCCTTAACCTCAAAGGTGCGTGCTTCAGCCTCGACCACATTCAGGCTCCTAGGTCCAAATGCCTACTTGACATTTATTCTGATGTTTCAGACATCTCAACAAAGTTAAAACAGTGTATCCACACCCAGCCTACTCATTCCTCTTGGTCCCACCCGCTTTCCTTTGAAATCTCCCCTTCTTCCTCTCCCTGGCCACATCTGTGGTTCTAAACTATGCTCGTCTCTTGCCTGGAATTACGGCAATGACCTTACTGACTTCTTTGCTTCTCTACCCCTCTTTCTTTCCAATTCATTTCTCACCCAGTACCCTACATAATATTTTAACAGCATGAGCCACATCACTTCCTAGCCAGAATTTCTTTAATTTTAGAATAAAATTCAGAACTCTTATTGACTAGAAAGGCCTGGGATAATCTCATCTGGCCCTTCTTGTCCAGTCAGCCACACTGACCTTCCTTCCATCTTTGAAATAAATACTGTCTCATTTTCAGGACTCTGCATATTTCGTCCCATTTGCCTGAATCCTCTTCTTGCAGCTATCTACACGCTGCCTCTCGTGTAGCCATCAGATCTCAGCTCAGAGGTCATAGCCTCAGAGATTCTTAATGTGGCCTCTCTGTTACCTTATTTCATCACCCTGTGCTTATTTACCCTTTATAGCTTTTATCACATGTGTATTTGTCTTATAATGTCACTGCTCCCTCCCTGCCGGAACATCCAGAATGTGAGGCCGGCGAGGGCAGGGACCAAGTCTCACAGGATGTATTTTTCACTTGGCATATCTATAATTTTGTCTGTTTGGTTATCTTACTTCTCTGAAAGTTTCCTGGTTACTGCAGTATTTCCAGTTCTAAAATAGTGCCTGGGGGGGAAAAAAAGAGTGGCTGGTACTATACACTGAGGGTTGAATCAATTAGTTCATGGTGAAAAAAGCTGTCTGTGCTTTCACTCACATTGCTTCTTTGCTCAGGATGTGCTTACCGCTCTCTCTCCTGGTTTAGCTTAATACTCCTCATCCTTTAAGACGCAGATCAGGTAATTAACCTGAAGTTTTACTTGACGACTCCAGTGCTTAATATAGCACAGTGGTCTTCTTAAGCATATGTTTTAGACAGAGCCAGGACTTAAATACACTAGCTCTATGTTTTAAAGGTTACCTCTACATATCTTAACTTTTTTTTTTTTTTAGTCTGTTAAATGAGAGTAGTAATAAATCACACAGGTGAACAAGAAAAGACATAATGCATGCAAAGCACTTGGCACAGTATCTGGCACACAGCAAGAACTCAGAATATGCTTTTAGACTAAGTTAGGGGCTCATGGTCTGCACTCATGTAACATGTTCTCTGTATATCTAACAATGTACTAACATCTTGAATTATAATTATCATATGTTTGTCCACCCCCTACTCAGAAAGTGACTTCTTTAAGGCCAGAGATCAGATCTCAAAAATTTTTATGTTTCTAGTTCCCTAGTATAGTACCTGAACACACTAGTTGCTCAATTAACTTAAAAAAAAAAAAGGTAAAAGGAAGAAAAGCTAAGTCTATAGTTACATGCTATCCAATATGGTAGACAGCAAAATGCTTTAATTTACATAAAATAAAATAAAAAAATTCAGGTTTTTGGTACTATCAGCCACATTTGAGAACTCGGCAGTCACATATGGCTAATGTATGGAACAATATATAGAACATTTTTATCATCACAGAGTTCAACTGGACAGTGCTAGTCTAGAGATTAAAAACAACTTAATGGTACCTGTTTTTTATTTTAATATAAACTGAAATACCTACTCAGTTGAAGGCACTATGCTAGGTTATAGTTCTATAAACATATCATCTCAAGGACAAGCTGTCTAAAGTATAAATATTAAACAAACAAACAAACAAGGAGATACACTATAAGTAGTATTGCATCACAAGCACTATTACTTCACTTATCTTGGATTCACAGAGAAAAAGTAAGATCATCGCATGAGAAGTTTACTAGGAAATTGATTATAGTTAGTGCCTGGGTCCTCTACAGTTAAAAGATTCTGCACATGCAGAACACAGAATGTTTCACCACCTCCGGTCTCACTGGATCTTCAATCCCCACAACAGCAATGCATGTAAGGCCGGTGACAATGTCATTTTCATTATCCCAGTCTGGTTCTGGTTCTCCTGCTGGGAAATCTCTGAATGCAAGACATATGGTTCTCAAGCCTTCTGATGCCATCGGTTCAATCACAGTTTTTATAATATCATCACGGTCCCTTGGTCTGAATACTTTTGCCTCACCATTAGCACTCAAGATTTTGAAACACCTAAAAGGAAATGTTGAATCCAAACATAAATAATCAACAGAAATAATTATAAATGGCATTTAAGTGAACTGGAAGAGCTAGAAATCATGGGATATGATAGCTGGCTTTAGAGAATTCCATTATGTTGTATTTTTACAGACTTAAATCATATTCACTTTTCACTCTCCCCTTTATAAAAGTTACAATTTTTATAGTTTTCCATCGATAGCTCTCCACTTTATCAGTTACTCTAGATATTACCTAATCCTCTTTTAGAAATGCAAAGGTTTTAAATTTCACAAAGAACCCCTAGCAGCAGAAAAGAATAAACTATGCACCTACAGTACCCATTTGGGTACAGAGTTAGACATTAATAATGATTAACACAAAATTGACCAATATTTTCTTTTTTTAAAAGTAAAAAGCCAAGTTCAATCAACCCTTTACCTGAGACCTTGTTTCATCACCTTAAAATAAGCATTCTATTTGAATGAGAGAAATGATGCCACAATAGTTTTATTGTCAGTGATACTAGCCACAACCTTTTAATTATGTGGTAAATAAAAGTTACACTGTGGACTTCCCTAATTAGTTTATTTTCACACAGCCTCTCTATGCTCCTCTCCCTTGTGATGCTACCTCCTGCTTCTAGGCAGGTGACTCCCAAATCTACATTTTCCGTGTTGTTTTCCAAAGCTCTCCATCACTGCTGAAGAGTACCACTCAGAAGTTGTACCTGTACCTTAATCTTACTGCATCGGAGACTAAAAGCTGCCTCCTCGCTGCCCATCTAACAGACATCAAGAATACCCCATGATTTCAATGTACATGAAGTTCTAAACCAACATCATCAACAGCTTCTGTGAGTTGAAGTGAAATAATGTATAAGGAAACCAATTTTACCACAGGCTAATTGATACAAACCAAGATTAAATTCCTATGGCATCTCATCATTGATATAACAAATGATGTTGAATGAAACAATGTTATTTGAAGAGCTGCTATAAATCTAAAATCTCACCTGAATACGTTTTCCTTATCTATATATAGATACCGCTTCGAAAGCGCTATATATTTATTCTCTGAACTGTCTTTTGAATGGTGCTTCTCCTTTCTCTTCCTCTTGTTAGTGATTTCTGGCTCTTACTTTGAACTAGAGCTATTTATTATAATAGCCTTTGATATCTGTCTCTAGACCCTTCCCACCTCCCCAACCCATTTTATTTCCTGATGTAGAAATTATCTTAAACCACAGCTTTGATCATACCACTATCTGATGAAAAAAAAATACTTCAGTCACATTATCTGACCCTACTTAAGTAAGTTTTAATTGCTCAGCCTAATGTTTAAGAGCCTCTACAATGAAATGAAAATATCACTTGGATGTTATTGTATACTTATTATATATCAGACTTCATGCTATGTTTAAATGCATTGTTTTTTTGTTTTGTTTTTTTACTGTTATAGAGTTGGTAGTTTTCACCCTCATTTTCAGCAGAGGAAATCAAAGCTAAGGAAAAAATTTGCCTAAAATCCCTAAAGCTAGTGAGTTCCAGGAAAGCATCAAAGCCTGATAGTTTTTGATTTTAAAAATATGCCCTGTCTGCACCTTCTATCTGCTACCTACCCTGCAAGCCATGGATGCAAATTTCCTAAACTTCACACTGAAATCCAATAACCAAGCTTACTGGGAAGGGAGAAGACTGCTCTAGGTGGCCTGTGTACCACAACAGCCCATGTCTGCTCAGCTGAACTATACACTTGCTGTTCCCCTGCACACAACCTGCATACCCACCGCCTTCCTCAGACATGGCTTCCTTTCACCTTGATGCACTCATTTCATACCAAAACCTATCTCAAATGCTTCATCCTTCATAGGAGAAACTTTCATCTTAAAATTTTACACACCTTATCATTAATTTTATACTTGTCCCTTAAGCCTAGTAGACCATAATCTGTCAAGTATTCATTAAGATAACACATATTATAACCCATTTAAAAGAAAATTAGTACAGTATTCTAAATGTTATAATTTCAAATGAGTTCTATATTTCCAAAATTGCTCTTAATTTTTTAAAAGTTCTCTACTGTAATTAAAGAAACCAAAATAATTTCAATACTTGTAATAGCACACAAACATTGGAGAAATTATAAACATTTAATATTAAAATTGAAGCTACCTGTCTGTATAAGGATAGTAAAAGAGAAAGATTACCATTCAAAATGATAGGAGATACTTAAATATGACACTACAGTAGCATAATTGGATAAAACCTCACTTTGATATAAAAGGAGAATTCTCAAGACCTAGTTTTAATGCTTTGCTATTTTAAAAACTAATCTATAATTCATTCATCACATTTTTGAGTCTACTGTCTACAAGGCAGTGTTGAATATAAAAACTTCAGTTTTTCTTTATAGGAGTCATATTTTTCATGATCCTATACAACAATGATATCAACATGTTTAAAACCATGTATCAAGATTTACTTTACTAAACCTACCAGACTGGATATAAATGAATGTAATGGACTTACTTCCCCTGTAGCAAAACACTAAGAAATAAAAGAAACTGGGGTATAAAAATGGCAGAATACCACGGGCTAATATCGGGATACCATTAAAGCACTATGCTAAAAGCTCTGAGATGGCATCAAATGCTCCATATGCACGCGCGCGCGCACACACACACACAAACAGCAATAATAACAACACAGTAGGTATTTCATAAAGCAACTGTAGTTAGCAATTTATTCATCTCAGCACTTTACTCTTACTTTTTCAGAATTATCTCAGATGCACCCTTGCTGAATATTCGAAAACTTCCATCAGAATTTTTCAGGACAGTACTCATGGACTTCCTAACAGAATTGAAGGTGTAGACTTTGTACAGTGATTCTTCTGGTATTTCATTTCTAACATCCTGATAATCCCGTTTTAAATCCAAAAGAAATCCCAACAAGGCACATTCAGTTTTATTACCAACATGACGAGGTAATCCACCCTCTTTCTCTGGGGGCTATAAGAGAAAAAAATGTTTAGACGCTAGCTAGTATCATCTTGTTTCTCTATGACAGTTTAATCTATTACACATAACACAAAATAAAACATTTTAAAACAAAATTACATAGGAAACTTATATTGATATAGAGATTTCAGAGGGTCACAGAATGATGAGGCAGAAAGGAGTTCTGGGACGAGAATGACATGGATTCCAATCTCAGCCCTGCCAGTTACTAGCTATGGGGGACTTTCCGAAAGTTACCCAATGGTTGTGGCCCCTGGCTTCAGCATCTGAAAAACAGGAGTACTTATGATGCAAGAATTAAATAAATCATGGTTCCTGACATGGGTAATGGGGCTTTAATTTCTCTCATCTTCTCTTCCTGTTTTCACTCAACATTTTATTAAATAATTCAAAATTAGATCTACTTTACAATTTTTATAGCTTAAAACAAAAGTTTATGTGTTAAAATAAAGCACTAATGCCTTAAATGTATATAAAAACTTTATTTTTTCATAGTATTTTCACAAATTTTACCTCATATAATCATCACAAGTATTATGGACAGATGTAACTGTCTTAATAACTAAAGAAAGTAAAGCTCAGACTTTCTGCTAGTAAAAGGAAAAGTTAGATCCTGAACCAATATCTCTATTAACTTCCAATTCAATAATTAATTGGTGCATTTTTCACTGAACAACTTGCAGTATTAATTTTGTTCACGGTCTTCACATGTAAATCACTATAACACAAATCAAGTGAAATAATTTCATGCTTTGTGTTATAAAACTTTTAAAACTTATAGTTAAAAAAATCTTACAAAGTTGAAAATATTTACTCTAAGGTAGTGTAAGTCTAGAATTACTTTATTGAATTAAGATACTAAAGGTCAAGCATCACATTATACATAGGATCTATTGAGAAACAAAAAAGAACATATAGCATGCATAAGAAAACATTATTTTAAATTGTAATTTGGCTTCAAAATTTTCTCTAGAAAACTGAGAGTTGACTTTCTATAAATGTCTTTTTTTTTAGACAAAATAAAAACAGCCTGGTCTTTCACAAAATGAGTTTAATAATAATTTAAATTTAAGGACTTGTTCTGGTTGTAAGGCTTAAGAGTTTCTAAATACAAGAAATTAAAAATCTAGGAGAGAAAGTTACAGGTAAAGAAAATGTTTATTTTGACCAATAGCTCTTACTTGCAACACAAATTGTATCAAAGGACTTATATACATTTTATAGATATATGCTGTTTAAAAACAACACAATTCAGCTGTTCAATTTATATATATATATATATATATATATATATATAGTAAAGGTAGGCCTGAAGATCTACCTACAATCTAATTATAAATAAATAAATTTTCATGCATAATTTATTAAAGAAACCTACCAGTATTTTTGATGTATAAGCACAATTCACTGAAATTCCTGTTACAAGATAAGACAAGATATTTGGTGGAATAGCTTCCGGCTCAGGGACCTTTTTGTAATGCTTTTCATTTATATAAGCTTGAACAACTGTCATTCTGTTCATTGTCAATGTTCCTGTTTTATCTGAGCAAATGGCTGTGGCATTTCCCATGGTTTCACAAGCATCCAGATGCCTTACTAAGTTATTATCTTTCATCATTTTCTAAAATGACAAAAAAAAAAGAATTAGATAAGCTACATATAAAATCCATAGCCTATTACATTAAAATCATAAACTGCTTTAAAATCAGAATGAAAATTCCCAGCTATATATAATACGTATACACAATATAAGTAAACAATTTAATATTGGAGGATTTTAGTACATTTGACCTATTCAAATAAGCTTTCTTTGGTTTCAAGAATTTGATCACTGCATAACATAGTCTAGTAAATGAAAACAGTTACCTGCACCCTTCTGCAGATCACATCGACTCTACACTGCCTCCAAAAGCTTCTGCGAAGGGACCTCCCATTACAAGCGCATTGGTAATCTGTTCTCTAAGTACAGATGTACTTAGAGCAGTGTCGGAATATGTTACACTTAAGCATTAAGTCTCTTTATAAAGTAGAAATGAAAAGATTTTTGTATCAATCACCAAGGAAAATGTAGCCTGTTATCAATTAAAATATATAGGTTGTCGGCATGTAGCTGCATGTTTTTTTTGTTTTGTTTTGGTTAATATACCAAAAGCAGAATGAGTCATTTTTAACTTTTCCATATGCTGATGCACTTGATATTCTCACTCTTTGGATCCTCTAATTTACAAGAACAAAAAAGATAGTTTCTAAAAAATTAAAAAATTTCATAGTAGCCCCAAAAGGCATTTAAGTTAAAATACTTGATATTAACTCGCAAAATATATGTGGAATGTGTTAAAAATAATAGTTTTTGAACTCTAATATGCAAAATATTGGGGGGGGGGGAAAGAGTGATTTCTTGAAGAAATAAATATGGGGAAGAGCCGAAATCGGTTTGGCTCAGTGGATAGAGCATAGGCCTGCGGACTGAAAGGTCCCAGGTTCGATTCCAGTCAAGGGCACGTACCTTGGTTGTGGGCACATCCCCAGTGGGGGGCGTACAAGAGGCAGCTGGTCGATGTTTCTCTCTCATTGACATTTCTAACTCTCTGTCCCTCTCAATTCCTCTCTGTGCAAAATCAATAAAATATATTTTAAAAAAAGAAATAAATGTGGGGAAGAAAGGTGTTTACCTCCCATTTTACTTGTGATTCAAATTAATATTAAAGATTAAAAGAATTAAGTTCTTGCCTGTCCTGTGTGGCTCAGTGGTTGAGTGTCGACTTAAGAACCAGGAGGTCACCCTTTGATTCCTGATCAGGGCATATGCCCTGTTTGTGGGCTTGATCCCCAGTAGGGGCATGCAAGAGGCAGCTGATCATTGATTCTCTCTTATCTTTGATGGTCCTCTCTCTCCCCCTCTCCCTTCCTCTCTGAAATCAATAAAAAAAATATTAAAGATAAAAAAGAATTAAGGTCTTTTTACAGTAAAGAAAATTTGTTTGATTTTTGCCAAGAGCTAACAGAGTATCCATAAAGACTACACCTCAATGAAATGAACAGTAGTTGGTAACATTTAAACTAAACATTTAATAAAAGCTTAAAGTAGTTACAATGCTCTAATTTTCTACTGAAGGAATACAAATCATTTCTGCTTATATCTTTTTGACTAATTGAAAAATTAGTATCATTCATGATTATTCAAAATGAACTAATGACAGTATTGGTAAAATGACTGATTAATGTGTCTAAAATGTTTATCACAATTACCTATAACTAGAGACCTAGTGCACAAGTTTGTGCACAGATGGGGTCTAGCTGGGCTGGTCCCAATCAGGGCTGATCAGAGCCAGGCCTGTTGGGAGAAGATGGCAGGAGGTTGGCCGGACAGCCCACCCCACTGGGGCCCGATCAGGGCTGGGCTAGTTGGGAGGAGGGGCCATAGGTGATTGGCTGATGGGCCCCACCCCCAAATAGTGGGGGTTTTGATCAGCTACCAGAGAGAGGGGCCATGGGAGTTTGGCTGGCAAGCCCCACCCCCAATTGGTATGGGGGCAGCCAATAGGGGAGGAGCTGGCTGAGGAGAGAGGCAGCAGGCGGATCAGGGTTGTGGGGGCCCATCAGGTGTGGGTGGAGGGGCTTCAGAAGTCTGGCTCACTACCAGATCAGGCCAGTTTGCTGGCTGCAGTGGGCATCATAGCAACTGGTTACTCTAGTCGTTATGATGTTCTGGTCACTGACTTTATATATATAGAGGTCTTGTGCACGAAATACATGCACTCAGGGGGTTCCCCTCAGCCTGGCCTGTGCCCTTTCATACCAGGGAGCAGCTCCTTCATTGGTGGTCATTGTGCATCGTAGTGATCAGTTGTTCCACTGATTTACATATTAACTTTTTATTATAGAGGATTATCTTAAAACATCAAAAAAGTATGAATAGATAAGTATATGGTATTTCATCATCACTTTGATACATTTACTAACCATTTTATTTTCTAAACAAGCCATTAAGTGTCTGAAAAACAACTCAAACAATAATAAAAAAAATATTCTTATCATGACACGTCTATTGTAAAATACTCAAGAATACTGGAGCTAAGTGATATAATAGAACAGAAACTATGACTAATTACGTTATGCACTCAACGTCAGCAATGCCACTTAAGCAGTACTGCTAACTACCAAAATAAATTGACAAGAGCAGTATTCTTCCAGCAAGTATAATTTTAGCTGAAAAGGCATTTTGAAAGACCAAAACTGTTCAAGCTAAAACCTTTTAAAATCACCTTTCCCATATAAAGTATAAAATTGAGAAAAATAAGTTAATAATTATTACTTTAGGTTAAGTAGCAGTTAGCAAAGCCATCAGAGCACATTTTTTTTTAGCTACTAGAAAAACAAGAAGGACTGAGCTACTGTAAACCGAGTAGTCAGAGAAGGTGACATGTGAAGAGACCTGAGTAAATAAACCAGATCAGCGGTCGCTAACCAGTGGTCGGTGAGGTCTGAAAGGTTGGCAGCCGCTGGACCAGATGATTCGAAGGAAGGGCATTTGGGCTCTGACATGAGAACATGGTTGGGATATTTGAAAACAGTAGGAAGTCTGGTGAGGTAGACCAGAAGAAGAAAGGTGGATTAGCACCAAGAGGTAAACAGGAGCCAGACTGGGCAGGGCCCTCAGGCTATGGGAAGGAGCTGGAATTTTATTCTTAGTGTCATGAAAAGTCACTGAAGTGTTATGCAAGGAAATAGAATGATCTGAACGACTTTTTTAGGAACATGAATCTGCCCACTTAGTGAAGGCTAGACCATGAAGTAACGGGAGTTGAAGAATGGAAACAAGGAGGCTTTAGAACAGGGGTGGGGAACCTTTTCCTGCCAGCGGCCACTTGGATACTTTGTAACAGCATTTGTGGGCCATACAAAATTATCAAGTTAAAAATTAGCCGGCTATAATTGGTCAAACATTTAAATGACTCACCCCTAATGCTTTAGCAGGGCCAGACCAAGTGATTTTAAGGGCCTTATACAGCCCTTACTTTAGAGGGTTGGACAGGAGTGAACCCTTTCTTTGCTCTCATACCACAGTAAATGACATTCTTACTCTTACAATGAGAAAAAGGAGGGAACACGACTTGATAACATAAATACTACACAATAAAAATTAAGCCACAAGTCTGCCTAGCAGAGTTGTGCTTAGTTTTGTGGCAAGCCTGTCTTCCAAGGTCCCACCTGGTGGTCCGTGGACCACTAGTGGTTTGTGAGGTCCGAAAGGTTGGCGACCATTGCTCCAAGGAACGTACAGGTCTCTATGTACTGGGATCCTCAACTGGGGGAAAGAGATGGAGTCAAGGACAACATTTCTAAAGCAAACAAGTGCAAAAATATGAAATTCTCTTCCTTTCAGAATGAAAAACAAGAATGAACAGACATGCATTTCCACCCCAGCTGGTACTTTAAACTTAGTACATCTCTTTAACTGGTTTTACTTACCTTGACTGAGTAAGCCAATGAGATAGTGACTGCGAGTGGAAGACCTTCTGGCACAGCTACCACTAAAACCGTAACTCCAATAATGAAGAACTTCACAAAATATTGTATATAAATCGGTGTGCACTCAGCAAGCCATTGTCTCTTCTGAACCCAGAATGTATCAATTACAAAATATAACACTAGAATGATAACTGTGATGGCAGACATCAACAAACCTTTCAGTATACAAAGAAAAGAAAAATGTAATTATTTAAATATTCCAGACACTATACATCATCGGTTACAAACTGGCCACTGGAAGAATTATAGCTGGTTTGGTAACACTTATTTTAATTTCTTTGGAAAATTGTTAATATCATTTTTTTGCACTTGACATTGTCATATTTAATTTTTGCTTCCAAATGTAGTCTTATCCCTAGGAGAACTGGGAAAAATTGTTTAGAATTCTTTCTTACACTTAACTGTATTCTCCTTGGGCTTCTACTAAAGCTGAGACAAAATATAATAATAGGCATTGATAAGAAAATATCAACAACTTAGCATAAGCTGGTGCTTTACATATTGGGAACTTACTTGTTGCTGAAAGATAATCCAATAAGCATCTGATGAATGAGAAGACGTGAAATTAAATATTCAACCCTATCTTTTTAATTAAAAATATTATCTGAATCATTATCTTTAATCTATCCTTATTACTTCATTAACTTAGAAAAACAAGAATTAATCATATCATATGAATCCTTTACCTCTCTATTTCGTGGGTTATTTAGCCCCATATAAATGAATATTAAAAAATAAGGTAAGTCCACATATCTGGGTCTATAACCCAAGTCAATGCTTACTAAAAACCACCACTATCTTAAAATCCATCCTTATCCCCAACACTATGGAGTCAGTATTATCAGTTGCTTTATTAAAAGAAGCATATATTTGCTATTAGATAACAAACATCTTGAGGACAAATGCAAAAACAACTTTTTCTAACATATTTCTAGGAAGTAATAAAATAATGCAATTTACCTGATTTAATAACATATATTGATTTACAAAGGTGATACCAGTGGAGGATAGGCTCTGTTTACTTTTTATTTTTTAATAGAGTGGTTCTCTCAACATGTGTTTTCTAGTGACGACAACAGTTTAGTAATTTCAGTTTAGTAATTTCAGTAATTTTAGTAGTTCAGAATGATGAACTACTCCATTTAATTAACTAAACTATAACTCCTAGGAAAACAGACACCTAAATTTTTCATAAATAGTAAAAAGATGAACAAAATGTGCGATAAACAGTTCTTTTAAGTAAAATATAGTTGGGTAAACTGCATGGAGTAACCTCTCTGCTAAGCCCTCTCTATTGTTCCCAGAAATTCAGAGACAAGAGCATGGGCTTGTGAATTGGTAGTCTTATGCACTAATCTACCCCCTTATTAGCTAGCTGATAGAGGACGTGGCCTCTATGAAATGTGGGGATAACAGCCTCAAAGCAATGAAGAGGATCTTCAATAACTCAAAAGACCTGGTACATTGTGGATAAAACAGAAAATATTTCTAACTCTCCTTCCAGTTACAAAGCAATGATTTCCCAGCCTTAAGTATGCCAAAAGCGTTTTTTAAGCAGGAAGTTAGTGTATTTTAAAATAAACACCTTATTTTCCTTTATGTATCATACCTGCTTTGCCAATCTGAACAGCCAGCTTTGTAAGTTTCCCTTGTAAAACAGATTTTTCCTTTTTTGGCAAATGTGACTTCTTTTTGTCTTTTTCATCACCATCTCCACCATCTTCACTCTTTAAAGGCTGCATTTCCATGGCTGCACCATCCTGGGCTTTTGCTGCATTTAAGAGCAAATGTAATTTCACTACATTTTAAAGGCTCACACAACTTGACATTTTGAAGCAAGTTTTGATAAAAATCAGTTTTCTTTTAGAAACTAGGAAAGATTTAAACATTCAGCTTCGTGTGTTCACATGTCTTACCCAGAGAAAATAAGCCAACAGAGAGACTTGGTTGTGAAACTCTGTACCAGACTTGAGAATGTTGTGCTACATAATACAGATGAGGCATAGAAAGGAAGAAATGAAGGGTCCTTAAACTAAGAACTAAACACCAAATCACTTCTCTTTCCCTGTGTTATGTTAGGTAATGAGACTTACTCCAAACATCCCAAGTCCCTTCTATATAATTTATACAATAATGTAGAATATTATGTATCATCTTACACATAGAGAAATACCTAAGTGTACAGACAATTAAAGAGATGCAAAAATGTACATTTTGTTTCTTATGCATTTTTGCTAGTAGTGACATAGTAGCCGATTTATACTACCCAAAATGTTTAAGTTGAAAGTTACGATACCTCTGGATTTTTCTACACTTACCAGCATAATTTAAAATCTATTAACACTGCAAAGGCAGTACGACTGGGGCATTAACAGGAAGAGAGCTTAATCCAAGTTAACATATTTTGCTGAGTTTCCCTGCTACGTGGATCTTACACTTTTGGATGAATATAGTACACATCAGATATATTTTTTGGATATGAGAAAAGAAGCTAACTATTCTTTTATTCTCCTGAATTTACCTTTGTTGCGATTCTCAATAGCTCCATCTTGTTTCTTATCTGTAGGAACAAAATGGGAATTAAAGCTTTCCAAAAGAAATGAATACAGCCATGCTAAATTATGCAAAGGTAGTTCACATTTCTATAACAGCGTTGTTACACAGTGCTATGTGTGTTTGTGTGTGTGTACAGATTAGGAAGCATCTAGTTTGTAATGACCTACTGGTCAATTACTCCCTAGTCTTAACCATAGGGGAATACTCCAAAATAATTTGGGCATCTATACTGGTTTGATTTCTCCATAAGACTTTACTCTTTTACGCTGCAATAAACCCAAATACAACACAAGAGGTTTTCAAACTAAATACAGAGATACCGTATTCCTAAGAAAGCAGAAAAGGACAGGGGTAGAGGAGGGAGAAAAATCATAGACATACAATAAGCAGGCGAGCTTTGATGGGAATGAGAATAAAACAGTACCTATGCAGAGGCAGCAGAGGCAAGTAAGTGAAACTAGAACATGAACGCACTGTCAGTAGAGTTCATTATAATAATTGGCTTAGGCTTGGAGAAAAGAGAAAGATGAGGATGTCTGAAGCAATAAGGTCATCAAGGAGGGAATGGGTCTAGCGTTTAGAAGTAGGTAGGAAAATATTAGAAAGGATAGAGAAGCAGCAGGAGCATTCAGTCTATTTTTCTTCCAACTTCTCTATCAAGAAGAGCTATCTTCAAACTGGAAGACGTGGAACAAATATGGTCAAGATGGAACAGAGGCTCAAGATAAATGAGGAGATAGTAAGAGAACACCTAGCTACTTTCAATGACCTCAAGCTGGAGGGAGACCAGAGAGCCACATTCCAGACGACTAAGGAACTAAGACAGATTAATCTGCCCCGGGCTGCCTGGGACTGGAGGAGGGCTGAAGTCCTCAGATGAAAACTGCTGTCTCGTTCTATTAAAAATAACAACAACAAAACTCAAGAACAAAAAATGGTAGACAATGAATTAGATATTAATTCCTGGGAAGACCCTTGACTGGATTAAGAAAAACAGGTCTGTAAGACATAAAAAAGGGTGCTTACTGAAAAAGACACTGTGGAGGAACAGGAACAAAGTCATGACACAACTTCCCTTATCTTTCAATAGGCCTCTTCACTAGACTCTTTTAAATTAGGATGCACCACAGTGTATGAGATAATGCATATAAAGCATTCAATAAATGGTATCATTATTACTAGTTTTCAAATTGCCTTTCACTCTTAAGAAACCTAAAGGAGGCAGATGGGAGGGCTGTGGCGAGGGAGAGGAAAAACCTAGAATGTGGAGCTTGCTACCCTCACTAACAGCAAGAACTTTTCAAACACTCTTTTGTTGGAAATGAAGGTTTCACAGCTAAAGACAAAACCTAAAGAACAAAACACCTAAATATTTAAAACACTGCTGTAGATAGAACACACCATATTTTAGCAAGAAATTTATTTTATGAGATCTCAAAATACGTCTTTGAGAGAAATATGGGCTTACTACTCTTAAGTAAAATTAAATAAATCTAAGTCATTAAAACCACAGTAAACTGCTGTCAGTTTAAAGGGAAAAAACTCTGGAGTGATCCCGAGTGGAAGAAAACTGCCATATAGCAGACACAGAAACAGTGTGAGGAGGACTTTTACAAAAAAAAGTATCACACTGTTCATTGATTCTGAATTGTCTCACTATGTATGATGGAGTTTCTTAAAAGATTCTTGTAGGTGAGCTACGGTTATCAAGTTTGCTGGATAGATTACTTGGAGGGATAGCAGATACAATGGATAAAATAAAGATGATCTTAACTAATGATGAGCTGAATATTACACAACAAACATAGTACCCTGTTTCCCCAAAAATAAGACAGTGTCTTATATTAATTTTTCCCCCCAAAGTTGCGCTAGGTCTTATTTTCAGGGGATGTCTTATCTTTCCATGCGCTAGGTCTTATTTTCTGGAGGATGTCTTATTTTCGGGGAAACACGGTAGGTGTCAAAGTGAAGTCTGACACCTACATAAGTACAGAGTGAAAGCTCAATGAGTCCAAAATGTAATAAGGCTGGCAAAGAAGGCTACTACTAAAGTAGTAGGAAAAAATATGCAGATGGGAAGCGAGAGTTTACTTCCTTTTCTTGTCAGTTGACAGGGAGAGTTTAAAACTAGAGAATAAACAGAATAAAGACAATGTGAATGGTTCAAGAAGTTACCCCACAGTAATGGGGACTGATGCAATCACTAAAAGCCTTTCATGGACTATTTAACCTAAAAGAAAAACTTCGCCTCCACTAATTTTACCACTTTACAGGACAATATTGGGCAATACTGCAATTTTTTTAATAGAATTTTTCATATCAAACGTCCTAAAAGAAGTGTATGTTTTGTACCAGTTCTTATAATTTAGTTGCCATATTTTCAAAATACGAATTCTTATAGCAAATCGCCATTCTTACTTTTCTTTTCCTTTTTCTTCTCATCTTTCTTCTCTTCCTCTTCACCTCCAGCTCCAAGTAAGGTAAAGATAATTCCAGTTTGAGAATTTATACCTACAGCAGTAACTACCATTCTTCCAGAGCCTTCCATTACATGAGTACCTACAACAGAAAACTTGTTTGTTTTTTAAAATTAGATTTTTGCTCCTATTATCAAATTTCAAATTTTAGTGACATTGTCTTTAATATCCTTAATATTATAAAATGAACTCAAAGAAGACATTAAATAAAACCTACATTTTTATGCTTAAGGTTTTAACTCTGTAATCGCTCATATCTGAGTTCAATACAACTGGACCAACTCATTTATCATGTGATATTGGGCAAATTATAGCATCTCAAAAAATGGCTATAACAGATCTAGAGTGAGACTCAAGCCTATAAATGCAAAGTGCTCAGTACAGTGCCTAGAATTTGTTGAAAATAAATGCTCAACTTAAAAAATTATATCATCATCATCATCATCATCAGGACCTATTCTTGAGAAATACATTGTTCATAAAAGAAGTGTGCTTATACCAAAGGGATTCCATAGCAACAGATATCGCATTTCCCACACTCAAACCCACAACCTCTACCTAACCCAGACCCACATCCCAGTCTATGTTTATAGTTCATCCCGAAATTAGTTTTAATCTTCCTAAAATGTGATTTTTTCCTAAGCCTCTCATGGCTCAAAAAATTCTGAGGCTACACTGCCCACTGGACTAAGTGCAAGATCACCTTGAGATCAACTAACCTTTCAAAACTTTTCACCTACTACTTCAATATAACATTCCATTACAGAAAGCTAGGGAGCAGACTTGGGAATACTGATTGAATTAGACCAACCCTCACAACAATGTGCAGAGTTGGAAGACATGCTTATTCTTATTTCCTAGAGACATGCCCAAGGTTACACCACTATTAAATGGCAAGGCAAACATTAAACCGTGCTCTGTCAGAGGACAGAGGACATAATCTTCATACATGTAATGCTGATAAATTTGTTTACAGTTCTCCAACTTGTACACCAATATCTCTGCATCTTTTATCATTCATTAAAAGGCTTCCTACTTCTCTAATATTTTGGTTAATTTTAAGTAGCTTTTGAAACTTAACTCTTTTTTTAAACACTCAAATCTTCTTCAGTTATCACTTATTTGATCTCCTAATTCATAGCCATTGGAGGGACATGGTCTATAGCATCTACCACCATCTTATGGTTACAAGTCAATGCTCAAAGTTTATTTGTTAAATCTATATATATATATATAAAAGCCTAAGCGACCATTCCATCATTTGACCAGTAGCTATGATGCACACTGACCACCAGGGGGCAAACGCACAACACACAAGTATGAAACATGGAACTGAATGATGAATCTCAGAGGGAAGGGGGGGGGGAGAGGAGGGTGGAAAGATATTAATCAAAGATCTTATATGCATACTAGAGGCCCGGTGCATGGATTTGTGCACCGGTGGGGGTCCCTCAGCCTGGCCTGTGGGGATTGGGATGAAACCGACAGTCTGACATCCCCCAAGGGGTCCCAGATTGCGAGAGGGCAAAGGCCAGGCTGAGCAACACCACTGGTGCATGAATCCATGCACCAGGCCTCTAGTAAAATCATAAAGCATATGTACTTACTTCAGTACTTAAGAATTTATACTTAGCTATTAATTATGGAGTAACAAATCCAATAAGAATTTTTTAGGCCTTTGATTTTCTTGCTTTAACAACCTATATTCTAAGTATTTCACTAATTATTAGTTTCTTTGCCAGTGAAAATGCAAGGGAAATAATAAGAGAAATTCAGGACAGCAAAACAACGTTTATTGGGCAAGCTCTATGTGTAAAAGACAGTTTGTTTCTTTTTAAAAATTCTGGCTTTCAGCAGATTTCAACTTTTTATGTTCTGTTCTTCCTTACCACAGGTAATCATATGTTGGCAGTTAATGTGCTCAAAATAAGTTCTTGTTCTAGCCATAGCCCCACTGCTAACTAAAAACTGCTTTTAAAGATCTAAATTTAAGAAGCCAAGAACAGCAGTAAGAGACGGCATCATGAGAATAAATTTAAAAATAAAAGCATTTCATGTTTTTTAGTACATTTTTGGAATAGGGAAATAAATACAGAAAAACTTTCCCACCCTTATTGCGATAAGGGACTCTACAAAGCTATTTCAATCTTTTCCTAAGCATGGAAAATTTATAGAGTTTTCTTGGTATATTTGGTGTGTTAGGAACCTGAGTCTACATAAACTTACCAGCCATTTCTGTAAAAACAGGAAAGGACCAAAGTTCAGTTAAAGGATTTCGCACTAGGTAAATAAGCTAGATGTACATAAAAGTACATGAGTAAAAATGGCAAAAGGGCAAAAGGAGACTATTTTATTTTAGTTTACCAAATACGGCCCAGTTAGTCTATGGAGATAGAGTAGGTTACACAGCTTTCCTCTCCTCTGGAAAGATTATGGATTTTATTTGTTTAACATTAAATATCGTTTCTTAGAAGTATGGCAAAGAATAAGTAAAATAAGTATACACTGAATATAAATGCATTATCATTATATATCCAAAATATTTCTATTTGAAATAAAACACAAGCATATCAATATAAAGAAAAACCCAAATAGAGTACAAATGTTCTTAGTATAAAATATTGAAGGCATACAGATCTCAAGATTTAAAAAACAAATAAAACAATGTCTATATTACAGCTGAAACTTTTACCCTATTAATAATGGTGTTCATAAATGTACACGCATGTAATTAGTGATTTTTTAAAATAATTTATTGATTTATGGAGAGAGAAGAAGGGAAAGGGAGAGAAATATTGATTTGAAAGTGACAGATTGATCAGCTGTCTCCTGCACACACCTCCCTCCCCTCCCTTGAGCCCCGGGATTGAGCCTGCAACCCAGGCATGGGCCCTTACCCGAGAATAGAACTGGCAACCTCTCAGTGCATGGGATGATGCTCAACCAACTGAGCCAACTAGCCAGGGCTAATTACTCTGATTTTTAGTAGTGTGATGTTCTGCAATATCCTTTTTTGGCATCTATTTTCAAACTTTCAAAAGGTAATAATTAAACTTAGTTATGTGCTCCAAAATTGTGACTCTAACTTAACTGACTGACCCTTGTCACAGGTCTGACTTAGGTTTCAGTAAAACCATGTTCAAACAATTGAAATACAAAATTCACAGAGAACAACTGAAAAATTATAGCTATCAAGTTTTTGAATAGTTAAATCAGTAGGAATCTCCTTACCACATATAAAACGTGTTAGTATTTCATTAACATCCTATATAATCCTATTTAATAAAGAAGTAATATGCAAATTGACTGTCATACCCTCACAAGATGGCCATCCCCATGTGGTCACAAGATGGCCATGCCCAGTTCATCACAATATGGCTGACACAAGATGGCTGGCAGGGGAGGGCAGTTATGGGCGATCAGGCTAGCAGGGGAAGGAGGTTGGGGGAGACCAGACCTGCAGGTGAAGGTAGTTAGGGGTGACCGGGCCATCAGGGGAGGGCAGTTGGGGGGAATCAGACTGGCAGGGGAGCGGTTATGGGTCGATCAGGCTGAGTGGTTAGGGGGTGATCAGACAGAAGCGGTTAGGGGCAATCAGGCAGGCAGGCAAGCAGGCGAGAGGTTGGGAGTCAGCAGTCCTGGATTGTGAGGTGGATGTCTGACTACCGATTTAGGCCTGATGTATCATCCCCCCAGGGGTCCCAGACTGGAGAGGGTGCAGGGTGGGCTGAGTTACACCCCTCCCCAACAGTGCATGAATTTCATGCACCAAGCCTCCGGTCTCTGAAAATAATAGAAGACAAATGGACAACATCTTGCTTCCTCCAAACTCTAGTATAATTCAATTACTAGGAGGCAGCTTGTTTATAATTATTCCCATTGTCCCTTCCATTTCATTTCCAATTAACTATAGGTCAAGCCATTATAGTCAGGTTGTTATAAGAATCTCCCAAGTAGACAACCACCTCCTCCCTTTTTCCAGACAGAGTACCTTCACCCATACAAATCCTGCTTTTCCTATTCTCAGAACATGCCTTAACCATGTGCAAATGTAATCCTGTCTAGTAGATGTGGTGCTACTCCTGGACCTACTATAGATTAATCATATAATCATTACCTTGATTTAAACACATTCTTCAATTTTATACTTCAACAGGCCACATGTTAGTTTTTTCATTATACTAAAATTAGCTTATACTGACTCTCAAATATCTTGATTTTTTTGAACTCAGTTACCTCATTTGTAAAATATAGCTTTGGATTCAAAGATCTCTAATATCTTCAACAATTTACAAAAAATAAAAAATAAAAATCACTAAAGATTATAAAGATTAAGCCAGCACAAAATATATAATACTTTTTACATTACAGGCTTTTAGGGAAACTGTTTGATGACAATGGTATACTGTTGTGAGGGAGAAAAAAGTTAAATGTTATAAAAGAAATTCATACCTGATAAAAGTAAGGGATCCTTATCTAAAGATTTTCTAACATGATCAGATTCACCAGTCAATGAGCTTTCATCAATTTTAAGATCATTGCCTTGAATAAGTATGCCATCAGCTGGAAGGAGATCACCTAAAACAAAAAAATAATAATATGCTAAACTGTGAACATGATTATAATAATTGTTCATCTAGTATCAGAGCCATTCTCTCCTTTACTTACCATATTTCACTTGAGCAATATCTCCAACAATAATGTCAGCTACAGGTATCTGAATGACCTGACCACCCCTGATGACTGTGAACTTCTGTTCTTGTTCAATTCGACTCTGCAAACCTCTAAACTGTTTCTCCTTACTCCAGTCATTGAAAGCCGTCACTAACACCACACATACTACTGACAAGAGGATTGCAGCTCCTTCAATCCAACCAGTTTCACCTTCATCTTCTTCCTCTCCAACAGAAGGTTGTCCACAAACTATTTGGAAAGAAAGAGAATGCTCAACAAAAAGGATTCTCAATTGATGGCAACACCATGTAAATAAGTTAATTATGAGCTCTATGTAACTAGTTAATTTTACTCATAACTTTAAACATCTCCCTGAACTCAAAGCACCCCATAATGACAAAAATGTTTACAATGATAATTTCAAGTTTTCTGCCTCTGAAGGTTCTCAGCCTCAGGACAGGGAGGTACCCTAAGGTACTACTTAAGAGTAAGGACTGGAAAAATTTAAATCCCAACCTTAAGGCAAGTTTCTTCATCTGCTCAATTAGGATACCACACAAGCCCAGTGTTATGGTGAAAATTCAATGAGAAGACATTTGAAAGTAGGTAGAGCAATGGCTGAGAAATCCTCCACACTCAATCAATATTTATAATTACATGTGGTAGGCAAGACACACATAAAAAGTATTATGTGCTACCCAAGAACATATTTACTATATTAACTTTACTGAAGTATGATCAAATATTAGCTTTTGTAACATGAAAAGTTAAGGAAAGGGCTTATTAATTCAACTATTTGAGCACCTACTCTAGGTGCCAGATACCATTTTTGGAGCTAAGGATACAGCTGTAAATAAGACATACAAGCTTCCTCTCCTCACAGAAACCATACTCAGATTGGTAGGTGTGGAAGAAGTATGAAGAATTCAGATAATAAAACAGGAATAATTAGCATCAATTATAAGTCCCATGAAGAAAATAAAGCATGGTGACGTGCTTACAAAGGTCTAATTATGTCTGGATTATCAGGAAAGGTCCCTCTGAAGTCTCCATGATATTTGAGTGAGAAGCCAAATGATAAACAAAAATTAATCATATTGCTCTAAGGGAACAGCATTCCAGGGACAGATTAAAATAAGTACAAAGGCTCTATGGAAGAAAGAGTTCAAGAAAAGATAGAGAGGGGGAAAAATCAAAACCTCAAAACTGCAGAGTCAATAATGGTAAAGAAAGAATGGAACAGTGCTTCTTGGACTTTGGACTGTAATTTATTTGTGAGTCTAAAATCAATTCAATGGCTCGTGACCAGCATTTTGAAAAATAGTGAAATAGTAAAACAGAAAAGTAGTAAAGATACATATGGTTTCTTGAAAGCTTACTTTGGTTACTTATAAATTCTCATGAAGGCATATGCTCTTCTATGTTCCTATATAACTTCTTTCTTAATTGAGGGTTGAGCTGAAATCTCTGAAAGTCAATAGTTCTCTTATAACAGGAAAACAGGAAAAAGATGATTCAGAAGAAAAGAATGAATAAATGAATGACACTAGAAATGATTAAAGCATATTTCAGCCGAAACCAGTTTGGTTCAGTGGCTAGAGCGTCGGCCTTCGAACTGCAAGGTCCCAGGTTCAATTACAGTCAAGGGCATGTAACTTGGTTGCAGGCACATCCCCAGTAGGGGGTGTGCAAGAGGCAGCTGATTGATGTTTCTCTTTCATCGATGTTTTTAGCTTTCTATCCCTCTCTCTTCCTCTCTGTAAAAACTCAATAAAATATATATATATATTTTTTAAAAAAGCATACTCCAGCCGAAGCTGGTTTGGCTCAGTGGTAGAGCCTCGGTCTGCGGACTGAAAGGTCCCAGGTTCAATTCCGGTCATGGGCATGTACATTGCTTGCGCGGACATCCCCGGGGTGTGCAAGAGGCAGCCGGTTGATGTTTCTCTCCAATTGACGTTACTAGCTCTCTATCTCTCTCCCTTCCTCTCTGTAAAAAATCAATAAAATATATTTTTAAAAAAATAAAAAAATAAATAAATAAAGCATATTCCAGAATAGTGAGTATGAACAGAAGAGGATGCTGAATAAAGATTAACCTGGAAATTATGTGAGACAGATGCAGGGAGAGAAAACAGAAGCTAGAATAAGACCAAAAGGATGATGTGAATTCACAAAAAAATATGCCTCATATTTCATGAATGTGCAGTGGAATTTTCCAAAGACTGCATTATATGTGCTAATACAATAAAATGAATAAAGAATCTAAGAGAATTGTTATCTTCAATTAAGCAGACATTAAAGAGATATAATTAAAAAAGCACTACTCTTCATGATTTCACAACTTCATTAATAACAATTAAACATAGTAATTAAAATAATACTTAATTATTTTTAAATGCATTGCTAAGTATTTTTTTTTAATTTCTCAATTTTAATTCAGAATACAATAAATATCTAGATATAACTCACATAATCAAAGCTCTTTGGGGTCCTCAATACTTTTTGGTATGTAAAGGGATCCTGAGAACAAAGATTTGGAGAACCACTAGTAGTATATACACTGGTGACTAAAGATTTCTTTAAGATGTGGTTTATAGTGCTTCCTTTTACACCAAACTGTATCAGTAGGAAATTTTGATAGTTCAGATTTCTGTAACTGTTGATTTGCGATTAATGGATTTCCTTTTAAGCAAAGTACTATGAGACTGAGTGTTAAAACACAACATAATAAAAGATAAATGAAAGGCATTAATAAATGTTAAAAATAATAAAGTACAAACACTAAATAGCTTCTCATGGAGCAAACATATCTTTATATGTTTTACTAACACTTTCTAATAGATTCTGAGTCTCTTTAAAGGGCCTTATTACACTGACAACTCTAAATCATCTTCCCAGTTGGACCTAATGCCAGTATCTCCTTAAGCAAATTTGGGAAAGGGCCTGCAAATGAAGCAGTCCCAATTCCATGAAGATTTGCCCTGATCTTACTAGTAACAAAATCCAGGCCTGTTGAAAATACTTTTCTATTAAAAAATATATGTATTTTTATTGATTTTTAGAGAGAAAGTAAGAGGGATGGAGAGATAGAAACATCAATGAGGAAGAAACATCACTGATTGGCTGCCTCCTGCATGCCCCTAATTGGGATGGAGCCCTGACTAGGAATTGAACCAGTGACCTCTTGGTTCATGAATTGAAGCTCAACCACTGAGCTACACCAAAATATTTTTCTTTAGTTTTCTTATAGTCTTGTGGGGGAAAATGTTAAAAGTAAAAAGTTTTTAATAATCTGCTAACTCAATTGTAGCATACCAATTCCCAGTGATCTATAATGATAGTTGTGTAAACTGAACACTAATGATTTTCGCTATGTTGCTAAACATGATATGACCTTCCTTTTCAGATAAAAAGATATACATTTACACATCCTCACACATATATGAACACACATACACATCTATACAAAAACATTTTTAAAATATGAGAGGATAAATATATCAAAATGGTATGACAGTAATTTCTAAGAAGTGGAATTTTCAGTGAGCATTACTTGCTCTGAATTTTCATATCCCTAATACTCCCACAGCAAACCATGTATTATTTTATTGCATTACTTAATAAAAATAAACACATTTTTAAAATAAAAAGAAGTTTTTGAAATAATCTGACTTAGTACTGACAAAAATATTGCCTAAATTCTTTCTTAGCTACATTAATTATTGTCAGCCACGGGCAATTTTGTCCCCTTTGGGATACTGGGCAATGTCTGCACACCTGTTTGATTATATTCTCTTGGGAGGTGGTCTAATTAACATGGCAACAAAAAATGTTTCAGTGCAAGATGTCATGTGTTGCTGCTGAGAAACCCTGAATTCAGATAAACAGGATTATTCTGTGACCAACTTTCTTTAAAGAAAAAAAAAAGTTTTCACATGAGCTATAAGCATACCTTTGAAGAAATGACTTTAAATGTTAGCAAATATACATTCAAGTCTTCTTAATTTGAAAGGCACAAGAATGAAGCTTTCACAAATAAAAATATTTTGTTGAATCGCTTTCCATATATATAAAATACTATTGGTTTACTTTATAGCTATTTAAATATAGCTGCCAAAACCCAAGCTAGATTTCCTAGCAGTTGCAAAATATACTGTCAGAAATACCCATTTTAAAATATATGTTTTAAATGGGGAAGAAATTTGAAAGAGAAATGAAGGCTATAAAAGGTGGGAGAAAAATAAAACCATTTATAGCTACAAGTTAAGGAGGATCTACCATTCTATAGTGTATTTTCCACTGGTCAAGATACTTTGTAGTATAAACATATAATTTCCTTGAATGGCAAGCAAATTACCCAAATTATGAACATAACAACAACACATTTTAAGAACTTCAAAAGTAGTGGATTGGGGAAGAGAACAGAATTTTGCTTTCATAATGATTTTCCAAGAGATTTTAAAAAATCCAAATAAAAAATTATTTTACAATAGTGCTCTAAAAAACTTGAACACAGTGATGGCACAGGCCATATCACATATATGGCTTAGCTCCTTGCCAGACACATAGTATGTATAGATGGGTAGGTGATTTAACCTGTCTCACTGTAAAATGGAGGTGACACTATCTATGTCATAGGTTATTGTGAAAATTATCTGAGGTAATATATTTCAAGAACATTAAAGGCACTGGGCATTGTTAGAACGGTGTCTGATACATAGCAAACAGTCAATAAATGCTGGTCTACTATTATTATTATGTATTAGATAAGCTAATGAGCTTAACTTAGCATTGCACATCAAACTCTTCTTTTTCCTTCCCAATTTACTTACGTTTATTATCCCCTCCTGGAGGTCGATAAAAAGAAAGGCCCAGTGATACTATGGCTGCAATTTCTAATATAATTAAAGTGACATCTTGTAATGCTTCCCATACTAATTGAAGAAAGGTTTTTGGCTTTTTAGGAGGTATAAAGTTCTTTCCGAACACTGCTTCTCTTCTTTCTATATCTACAGGATTTCCACTTAAACCTAATAAAAAGAAACAAGATTTCAGTGAACAGTTTTACTATTTACAAATGAAAATATTTTATTGAAAACACATTCATTCTTTACACTTTAGATTCTGATTCATAAGGGTCTATCAGAATGGTTCATTTTTGTGTGTTAGTCATGTTCAGAATTTAAATCAATGGAAACATGTGCAGTGCTTTAAAATTACATTTTAAGCAAGATAACTAAAAATTAGATTAATAATTTTCACTTTTCCAAACTGCTTATTTTTTTCATACTATTTTATTCCACCTTGTAGACTGCTAGAGACCAGAACTGATATGACACTGATCATTTTTAAACTGGAATTAAACATTTCCATGATCTTTACTGACAATGTTTTCCCTCCTCAAATGGAGAATTATATAAAGATATTTATTTTGCTTTAATTATTGTATCTTGCACAAAAAATATAATCAGTGAACACCTTTGATTTTAATTTGTATTTGCTGAAGAACAATGAAAAGCCAATCTATCACAAGCTCTGAACTCTTACCAAAATGTCTGTTACACTGGGATTGATAAAAGATTTTCAAGTCCCCCAAAATAGGAGACTTAGAATGACCTTTATTTCAAGTTTTACTTAGGATTTATTTCCAATTGAAGAAACATTGACTGAGTGCACCTCCTGTCACTGTAAGGAAAATAGTATTAAGCCTAATGTGTGGAATTAGAAAGTTATGAGGGATAGGTTGGGTGAACATCAATTTTGCCTTTCCTTCATTTTATCAAACAAGTCCTCCTCTGATTTAATCTTTTGATCCTGTCAAATCTAAATATATCCAAATTTGGAAGAGGTTAATGGGGGATAAAGGAGCATCTATGTAATACTTTCAAAACTAAAGATTTTTTTTTTTTTTTTAAATTGATAATGGACAAAAAAAAAATATCCAAATTTGCTCATGCAAAGTATGCACACATTACTGTGAGGGTATGAACACACAGCAGTGACAAACAACAGTTTTCCTTATTTGGTTTAAGAATATCAAAGAAGGGGACAGAGATACCAGGGTGATATGACTTTTAATTTATCACCACAAATTTAAATTTATAATTAATTTCAAGTGTTTTGGGGAGGGGGCAAGAACTCATTCTAAGAGAACATAGGAGGAGGAGGACAGGAAAACAGATTATTAGAAGGCTCTGGGTTTTAAGCGAGTTAGCTATTAATCTCAATGCAGAGGCAGGTGGAAAGTATAAGAGCGAGAACAAAGAAAGTATATTGTTAGAATACACAATGAGAAATAAACATATGGATTTTACACTTGATCTTAGCCAAAAGGCCGAGAAGCGATAAACATATGGATTTTAAAGTGATTATTTACTTTCTTAAAGGTACTAAAACTAGGCCAGAGCATATTTTCACTAGCAACTCTAACAAAGTTAGTCCGTGCTGGGCAGCTCAGAAAGCATGGTAGATTTCTGATGACAAAAGTCATCAACAGAAAGCTTCCACAAAGCTCTAGGCTTTGAGGCAGCGTCAGTGGAAGGAAAAACAGTGAAGGATTGCAGCAATTGTTACTAGGTGGAAAAGAATTATGAGAAGAAACTTGCAAATTCTAATTCACAATCCACACTGTTTCTTCAGAATAGAGCAGTGATGCCCAACTACACCTGGCTGCACACTGTTAACAATGGTCCATGGTTCACTGGATGACAAGAAAAATCAATGCAGTAAGGTTTTCCACAAAAGTTTTTTTGTGTGTTTTGTTTTAAAGAAATATACTCTGAGATGCTATTCTGAGATTATGTGCTTGCTGCTTTTCAAATTAATGTTCTTTCTTTTATGAGAGATTATAAGATGCTTTATATTTTAATGCCCTTACTAGCACAAAAAATAAAAGTCTGCTATTTCTCCTCCTGCTAGTCCTCAATGTTTTCTAAGAAATTTGTTTGAAGATATCGTAATGTTCTCTCAGTTTAGCTCACACTTACCAGAGCTCACCATTAATTACATATACAACATAGGTAGTTTTAAATAACACCACTGTAACCATAAAAATAATTCATCAAAAACTTATGTACTAACACAGGTAGTTTTAAATAACACCACTATAACTATAAAAATAATTAATCAAAAACTTATATTGGTTATAACAAGGGGCAATATTTTATGTTAATGTTGAAAAGAACAACCACAGAGCTAAAGGTAGCTTAAAAATTTGCCCTAGAGGGAATCTGTGAAGGAAAAAAGCAGCTGGTCCTCAAGGTTATTATAATTCTATCTCCACTCATACAAGCACACACCTGGGCCATTACACCAATCAAATGGTCTGGTTTAGGAATTAGAAACCTACATGCCAGTTCATCTACTGAAATCCTATTCAAGTCACTTAACTTCCTTGGGGGTTGAGGGAGGGCATTCATGTTTGTTAGTATAACATAATTAAGGTTATTTTGAAGAACCAAAGGGAAAGGTATGCAGTATATATATCATAAATGACCGGATAACAGAGTTAAGAAAAGGGGAAGTTACAACATGAACTCTACAGATTCATTCTAAGTACAATGGAAATCACAAGAGCGGAAGAAAAAGACCAGCCGGGAGGCTGCTGCAGTACAAAGTAAGAGATGATGGTGCACCTGGGTTTTAGAGTTAGGGGCAAACTGACTAGATCTGTCAGGTGTCTTGCAAGAAGATCAGACAAAATTTGCTGAAGGATAGGGTATGGATGAAAGAAAGAAAAGAAAAAAGATGTCATCTAGATTTATTTATTTTTTGGAGGTCCATGCATTTAAGTGGATAGATGGTAGAGACATTTACCAAGAAAGAGCAGGCTTGGGAAATTGCAAAATTGGGTGGAAATAGGGAGGCAGGAGTTCATGGTTCTGTTTTACAGGTTTAAACATGAGATGCCCATTAAACTTACAAGCGAAGAAGTCTAAAAGACAGCTGGCTATCTGTATTCGGAACTCAGGGAGAGATCTGAGTCAAAGTCATCAATATATAGATGATTCTGAGGCCACGTGCCCAATAAGAGCTTCTGGAAAGCTAGACTAAGTAGACAAGATGAGAGCAGGGCTGGGGCAAGAACCTTGGAACAATACATTTGGTGATCAGATAGGGAAAGAGAAGCTAAAAACAACTAAGAAGAAAAAGAAGGGTGGGGAAGGTATATGACTCATAAACAGGTTCATGCAATAGTAGGAAAGTCTAGGAAAGAAGAGTTTCTTAAAAGTAGAAGATAATATAGCTGACTGTATCACTGGTGTTACAAAGATTGAATAAGATGAAGACAGAGAATGGACAACTGGCTTTCACTAGACAGAGAGGCTGGTGACTTTGATAAGGAATATTCCAATGGAGTGGTATATAAAGAAAGTCTGATAAGAAAGACCTGAACAGAGAATGAAAATGAGTAAGTGGAAACAATGAGTATCGATAACTTTTTTTCCAGGAGTATGATGCAATGGGGAGAAATAAAGCAGTGAAGGTGAATTAAACTGCGTAAATACAACCCCATTTTGCTTTTTAAAAGATGAGTGTTAGATATTAAGACAAGTTATTTACCATGGAAATGATAATGCAGAGACACTGATGATAGTGCTCAAGTAAAGCCTTTAAAGAGGCAAGAGGGAACAGGATCCAGGGCGTGGTGTTAGTTTATTATAGGTGTAGGAAGAGGCTGTCACAGTGAGGAGAAAGCAAACTTTGTGGGGAAGAAATTTTGCTAAGCTGGTGGAACTGGTAATGAGACCTATCTAGTCTGGGTTATAAAACTAAAGTAGATAAGATATAAAATTGTTTAGAACAACTTATGAATAAACATAGTGAGAAATCTTCTGCCTAGTCCTGCTGGCTCAGCTGATTGTGGTGTTAGTAGCAATGAGGCCAAGGGCAGGCGTTGCATTGATCTCCTTATGGCCCAGTTCGCTTCACAAACAAACAACAACATCAAAAGCAGCCTCAGAATTATATGTTTTTCGGTTCTGGATTCACCATGTGGGAAGTATAAATAAAAAGCCTGTATGTATTTTATAAATATACAATGGCTTAAGAATATTGTTATATATTTGAAAAAGACACAATATGGAATAAAATGCAAATTGTATCAACAGGGTAATGTTTTACAAGAAAATGTAGCATCCCAACTGCTGGGATTATTAAAAACTGTCTCAATTAAGGAAATTAAGAGAGGAAACAACTGGAATGTAGTAAGCAGGTAGGCTGAACTGAAAATCATGGCTAATACACAGCACATACTATAGTCTTATAAAATTCTGTACTTGAAATTATGTCAAGTACATATATGTATGTATGCATGTTCTACATGTGTCTGTGTGTGGTGTGACAGTGATGGTGGTGAGGGCCACAGGAAAACATGCAGACCTAGAAAGCATGCAAAAGTATTTTTTAATGTTCATTCTTCTTGGGAAACAGATAATACTCCTATCATATCCCCAATTTCAAAAGACAAGGAGACCAACCCCACTCAAAATTTCAGAATTACTAGTCTAATGTCAAACTTACACATCTGTTCCCAAATGCCGACCTACCACAAGCCCAGGTACTGTGATAGGCACTTAAGCACGGGGAAATGAATCAGACAGGTCATCTTTCTCTAGCACCTGTCCTCAAGAAACTCAGTTTTGTGGGGCAGATGGACAAGCAACCCAGTATGTTGAATATTAGGATGGCAGTGCTGAGGATGTTATGGGAGCACACAAAGGGAATTGCAATCCAAAATTTAGGAGGTTGGGGCGAATAAGGGAATTCCAAGATACCTAACTTGAAATTTTAAGAATAATTTAAAACCCTAACCAGTTTGGCTCAGTGGATAGAGCATCGGCCTGAGGACTGGAAGGTCCCAGGTTTAATTTCGGTCAAGGGCATGTAACTTGGTTGCGGGCACATCCCCAGTAGGGGGTGTGCAGGAGGCAGCTAAATGATGTTTCTTTCTCATCGGTGTTTCTAACTCTCTCTCTTCCTTCTCTGTAAAAAAAATCAATAAAATATATTTTTTTAAAAAGAATAATTT